TTCTTGTGGTATCTCTAAACATTTACCCTGTATACGTGTAGTATAGTGAGTAGAGTATCTTCACTTAATCTTTGACCCCTGTTTTAGTACATGAGCATACAATATTATGGCTGCTGTTCAGGATTTTTAGTATTTTTCCTTTAAGATGTGTTAATATGTAACGCTAAAATACCCCTTTGTGCCATCTGTCAAATTGTCAACTTTCATAAAAAAATTTACGAAATGATGTTCATGTAATGTTTATAATAAACGGTTAAGAAAAAGGAATCTGAAGTTATTATTAATTATATTAAGTTTGGGTGATGGTCCTTTTAACAACTCTTTGACCTATCTCAAGCCTGGTGAATTTTCTCATCAATTCTGAATCCATTTTTTTGTGCATGTTCTGATATTGTATTTGTGACATCACAGAAGACTTTTGAGCCAATAAGAGCCATTGAGGCTCCTTCTCAGGCTAGTAAATCAGCCTTTTCGTTGCATTTATGTCCTTTGTGGCTTGGTACCCAGGCTAAGGTTAGTTTTTTTGACTACCCAGCTCTATTAGGGCTTCCAAACAGTTCCACACAAGCTCTGAGTGTACTTGCATAGAACTGAGTGGTTTTAATGACGCTTGACTGTCTAAATACATGACAATGGTTTTAATATCTTTTTTGCTGCTGTTTCTGACTGGAATACTGTCGCTCAGTGAGATTCCCTGTCTTTGACTTGGTACTTTATATACCTTCATGGGTTTTGGAGCCGTCTGTATACCGAGTGAATTCTGTTTAAATATGAGGTCCTCCTATCCACGATTCCCTGTCTAGTATTCTTACTTTATATTGCATTTAAAAGCTATACTTTGGGAACATATCGTCTGAAGGCATTTCCATTATTTGGTAATTCTACAAGTCCTTATATAGTCGCTGTAGTCACGTCCATGCAAACTGATTATGGGTGATGCAGTCTATATGTGACAGACTTGGCTTCGCCTTGAATGAATATGTGCAGTGATTTAGCATAACTTCTGAAGTTGCCGTGATACTGCTTGCTTTTAAATAGCATTGAGTTGTCGAATGACTCCAGCTTGCTTAGTCTTTGGTCACCATACTACCAACCCGTAGGTTAGCATCGGCCTTATGACTCTTGTATATAGCCATAGATACATTTTCGGTTGTAGTCCTCAAATTTTTTCACACAAACTGCGACATAAGTTGAAGGATGTTGTGCTCTTTTAGGTGACTGCAAGTGTTGATTCCATTTTAATTTGGAATAAGCAGCAGGGAAATGTTTGCGCGAATAGTACTCTGTTTCTTAATAACGACTAGTCAAATAGTGTAATCAGTACTAAGAGAATGCCCTAGCTACCTTTGAACGTCTAATGGAAATGGTTCTAAAAGGATTAACCTGGAAAACTTGTCTAGTATATCTCGATGATATAACAATCATGTCAAAAACTTTTGATGAACATCTACTAAACTTGAGTGAAGTATTTGACAGATTAAGAAATGCCAATCTAAGGCTTAATCACAATAAATTTTCACTGTTCCAGTCGGAAGCCTATTATTTGGGACACATCATTTCCGTAGAAGGAATTAAAACTGACCCGGAGAAAATTGCAACTGTCAGAGACTGGCCGAAACTAAGGGACAAAAGAGAAATTAGAAGTTTTCTTGGACTGTGCTCATGTTATCGAAAATTCGTCAAAGACTTTGGTCAAATTGCTAAACCCCTTCATCGACTAATTGAAAACAGTAGTCTATTTGACTGGAGCCAGATTGTCAAAATGCGTTTACGGAATTAAAAAAACGATTGACCACGGCACCCATCCTAGCGTACCCTCTGGAAAAAGGACAATTCATTTTAGACTGTGATGCATCCCAATATGGCGTTGACACCGTACTATCTCAAGAACAGGAAGGGGAAGATAAAGTGATTGCGTATTTTAGTAAAACCTTAGGAAAAGCTGAGAAATATTGCGTCACAAGAAAATAACTTTTAGCTATTGTCAAAGCCCTCGAACACTTCCATACTTACCTTTTTAACAGAAGTTTCATTATTAGAAGTGACCATAGCGCCTTGCAGTGGCTGATAAATTTTAAGAAACCTGAACGACAAGTTGCTAGATGGATGGACAGACTACAACAATAAAACTTCGAGATAGTGCATCGAGGGGACGTCTCCATAGCAACGCAGATATTCTTTCCAGGCGACCGTGTTTAGATCGACAATGTCGGTACTGTAAAAGGCTTGAAAAACAGGAGGAACTGGTTGAAGAAGTCTTCAGGCGACCACTATCAAGTTAGAGAATGACGAAGACGTAATTACCCTTGAAAGCATAAGAAAGACTCAAAAGAAAGACAATGACTTGAAGGTTGTCCGAGAATGGCTCAAAAATGGAGTCAGACCCACATGGCAAGAGATAGCCAAATATAGTGGCATCGTTAAAGGGTATTGGACTCCCTGTATCTTCACGATGGCCTATTGCACCGGAAGAGGGAGAGCCCCGATGGAGTACATGTAGTTCGCCAAATGATACTGCCGAAATCACAGATCAGATGTGTGTTGGAGGAGCTTCATAGCAGCCGTTCAGGAGGATACTTTGGTACTAAAAGGACACTTGCACGAGTTCGGGAAAGATTTTATTGGGCCAATTGCAGACGGGATGTAGAATATTGGTGTAAGGAATGTTACCTTTGTAATGGCAGAAAATGGCCCAAAACAAGAAGTCAAGGTAAAATAGTACAGTACCTTTCCATAGAGCCTTTCGAACGAATCGCCATAGTGCCTATTCCTAATCAGGAAGCGACGACAGTAGCGGAAGCCTTTATGATGAACTTCATTGCGAGACATGGAGCCCCCAGCATTCAGTTGTCAGCGGGAAGTAAACCCAAGATAGTTCACGTTGAAAAGTTAGCGCCATATCGTGGTCCAGTTATTAATCAAGTTATTCGGGGCGAATAACTAGAGAGGAGGGAGCAATGTTAGGCAGCATCTTGCAGTAGCCTACGGCTATCATAGGAAACGTACAGATAGCAAAAGGAGTGGAATGTTACTCATCGCCCTACAGGGTGCTGCGGTCGTCATAAGTAAAAGTACAAGTAAAAGAAGATAGAATAGTCCAGAAATGTCATTACCCGTCAAGAATATTTTAGACGACAGTTCGAGAAGGTTCGAGAAGGGTCAAGCAAGCTATTTAAGGATGATCCTGACGTCAGTTTTCAGTTTTATGATAGATATTGTACGTTAATGTTATCAGTTGGATAGTTATTGTTAAAGTTGAATTGAATTGTTGTAAAAGTTGAGTTTAAATAAATTGAGATACCAAAAACCAGTGTAACAACACTTTGAAGGAAATCTGCAAAATTGTTGACACATTGGTTTTAGAAGATTTATTTCTGCCCAAGTTGGTGTTAATTATTTGCTAAGCTGTTTTTTGTTTAATATCAGACTCATATTTTTTCTCATATGCACCATAAATATTATAATTCTGCAATGAGACTAAACTGTTTTGTCTTTTAGTTAGCTGTAATGTCTGTTGTACTGCCTCTTAAACACAATATAACTTTAAACAACTAGTGATGAGCGATATTGCACCAACTTTTATCTTTCCACTGATATTAAAAAGTGACAGGTAACAATCATTAAAATAATCAGCGAAATTTTCGCGATTTTCTGTCGCTCAGTTCTTTTTTTTTTCCTATTTTGGCCCTTGTTGACTGTTTTTATGGATTTATGAGACTATATCAATCCAGCGCATAGGATTATTAGTTTTACATAGTATATAGGTTTCAGTAAAACAAGTGGTTTAAAACCGTAGTCATGCCATGACTAAAAATTACTGTTATTTAAAAATCACGGTGGCGAATAACACTGTTAGGATATCGCCTAATTATCCTTCCTCCATGATATCGCCCACCACTACTTCAAACCTGTAGTTAAGTCTCAGACTTACAGACTTATTGCCACAAATTGTTTATTTACTAGAATCATCATTTGTAATTTTTTTCTAATGCATTTTTTACAGTAAATAAACTTTTATTTATCTATAATAAAAAAAAAATGTGCTTCGTTGTTTACAATATTGCTCATATACTATTTTTATTTACATTATATAATATATAAATACATAGACCTAAATCTCTTACAAGGTTGTCCTAAACTGATTGCACGGCACCAGGTAAATTGTAGATAATTTATTAAAATACTTTAATTTAGAAACATCATTGAAGGTAGCTTTACATTACATTAAATACTTACTAAATAAAAAATGAATAAAAGAATTACACATGTGATCATTTAAATAATTTTTATATATTATATTCTTTTAGAGTAAAAGAAGAATCAAAATTTTCATAATGGCTCCAAGTTATAAAGTGATCTATTTTAATTTTACCGGAAGAGGAGAACCAATAAGGATGATTCTGACGTATGGAGGAATTCCATTCGAAGACAGCCGTTTTGAAATGACTGAATGGCCAAAAGTAAAACCAAGTAAGAGAAAAAATATTGCTTTATTATTATTCTACTTTTAGTTTATTCTTATGTACCATATGTGCTATAATACATGTTTCAGTTTCACTCTGAAATACAGATATTTACCATAATAACTGTCAAAATGTCAAAGCTTTATGGCGCCCTAAGCCATTAGTATATTTATTGCTAATTTTGTCTAAAATAGTCGATTTTGGCACATTATACTTTTCGGCCTTACCCGGTATACTTATTTTTTGATATTTTACTTCTCCCACGACCAAATCAACTTTTTATTCTAGAAAATATTTATAAGACCTTATCCTAACTTTCTTTTGAATTTTCTTATTAATTTACCCCTCAAAGAGACGATTTTTTTACAACACATTTTTTTTTTTTTGAATTCTTGTTAATTAAAATTTTAACCTCGAATTTGGTCAAAACGTAGTTTATACCTTTGTTGAGAAAAAATAAATGCTTATTTCAACCAATATTTAAGATCCATACCTGTTATAAATCTTAATTTTTGAAAAAATTGTTTATAAACTTACCAACGCGTTTATAATTTGATTGAAACCACATTTACCACACCAAACATGTTCAGTTTTTCACTACGAGATGATGGTATCAGTGAATTTGAACTTACACCGATAATGTCTGAAGTTACTCCAATTGACAGCTAGTACGTATTTGTACCAGAAAGAGAAAAAAGATTTTACTTTTTGAGTAAAGCAGAAAAGCAGTCATCTATTAATAGGACTATATTTTTTTAATTAATGTTTGTGGTTTTTTTATGAGTTACTTGTGATAATACTTTAGCAAAATCAAAACGAATGTTATAATAAATAATAATAATAAATTACTATAAAAATTTGTACATATTTTAGATATCTAAGCGAAAGAAATATGTATCATAAAAAATGTTAATTGTACAAGAGTGTTGGTGATACTCATTATGGCATATTTAGCGTTTTAAATTTAAAAAATGTTGATTAAAAATCTCAAGAGTTTTGTTTGTCAAAGGATTAATATCAAAAAGTTGAATAACTATATCGCTCAAAACAATAATTTCAATTGGGTCTAAGAGTCAAAATGACAAAAATATAAGCGATGTTTTTTCATAAGAAAGGTTGAGTGTAGCAACATTAATGATATTCAAATAAAGTGTTATCACGAAGCAGTTCATTAACTGGAGTTTAGGTAAACATGTAGAATGTATATATCTGTATATATGTTACTAAAAATTATATTTATAACTTTTTATTGCATGTTTTTGGTACTTAGATCCTATAGGGAAGGAATTATAAGATGAGAGGACTATTATAACTATTTTTTAAATAATGCTCATGTGGTACAAAAATTGATTCTAAGACTTATTTTAAAAAAATAGTAGTTTGTGCAACATGAGTAGATATGACGGCCATATCGCACAAAGACGAAGTTTGAGCAAAACGCTATAGGCGGAGTGCTCAATCGTTTAAGTTGTACAGTATATTTTTTCTACGACCCACTAAAAAAATCTACAAAATTAAAATATAATTTTAGGTTATTAAGTAACACTACGCTACTAAATTCAACTTGTATGAGCGGTGATGAGCGGCAGGCGGCTTCGATCACGCTTAAATCTGTCTGACCACGCCTAAAAACTCAAATTGGTTTCTGCACATTATGACGAAGTGTGCTCTTCACAAAAAATTGAGCTCTACAAGTCTAGTATGAGTCAGGGTAAGGGACCAGTTTGGTTTGCATAATCTTTAAAATGTACCTTTAAAAATAGTCCTAAACCATGGATCACTGACAATATAAAATTTATGATTAATTTACGAAATAAGGCGTTTACTAAATACAAAAAAACAAAACAAAAATCTCATTGGGATTATTATAAGAATTTAAGAAATTATATTACACAAGCCATACGTGCAGAAGAAAAAATCTATTTCAATCAAAAATTTTCTAATGCCAATAATAAACAAAAATGGAAAATAATAAATAAGTTTACCGGATATAAGAATAGTAATAAGTTTCAACTTTCCTCGAATTTCGATGCGAATGATATCAATAAAAACTTCTTGAAAATTAATGGTTCTGTCATTAACCCTCACCCGGAAACTCAAAATTTTTACCAAAACAACTTTAAAGGAAATTTTGAAAATCTGCTTGAATTTAAAGAAATAGATGAATTTAATATAATTAAAATTATTCTTAAAATTAAAACCGAAGCTTGTGGAACCGATGGAATTAATGTCACATTAATTAGATTTCTTTGTCCCTACCTAATTCCCCATATAACTTACATTATAAATTTTTGTCTAAAAAATTCTGTTTTCTAAAATATATGGAAAGAGGGACTAGTTCTTCCTATTCCAAAAGTCACTTCCCCTGAAAACTTAAATGATCTTCGTCCCATAACTATTCTGCCTACACTTTCAAAGGTTTTGGAGAGAGTTGTAGAGGAACAACTTCGAGAACACATTGATAAATATAAAATTCTACCACTCACACAATCGGGATTTAGATCGGGATATAGCTGTGGTACGGCCCTATTAAATATTACGGATGACTTTCTGAAGGAGTCCGACGCCAAAAATGGTTTATTAATTCTGCTTGATTATAGTAAAGCATTCGACATGATTAATCACGAATTGTTTTTATCCATTTTGCATTTTATTGGCTAGGACCAACCGCAATAACATTTCTTAGAAACTATCTGTCGGGAAGAACACAGAAAGTATTATATAATGGTGTATCGTCTAGCGTAGAGCAAGTTGGGCGAGGAGTAGCCCAAGGTTCAATCCTAGGCCCTCTTTTTTATACAATATATACGAACAATTTGTGTTCGGTTTTACAATATTGCAAAGCTCATATGTATGCTGACGATACGCAGTTATATATGTTTTTTAACAAAAACGATGAATCAGAGTGCATTCAAAAAATAAATACCGATCTTAATGCCTTGGTGAAAGTATCTACCCAACATAATTTGGTGATTAATTCAGAAAAATCAGCTGTTATGTTTTTTGGAGCTGCTTCTTCTAACGTGTCTATAAAAATTAACGATGTGGCTCTACCAACTGTTCAAAAAGCAAAAAATTTGGGGATAATACTAGACAATCGACTGAAATTCACAGATCATGTTTCTTATGTTCTACAAAGATCCTTTTTTAAATTAAAAACTTTATATCACAGCAGACATTTATTTGACAAAAAACTAAAGATACAACTCTGTGACTCTCTCGTTCTAAGTAATGCAAATTATTGTGATTTTGTATATGGACCTTGTCTTTCAGTAACAGATTCAAATAGGTTACAAAAACTACAAAATGCCTGCCTTCGACTTATATATGGAATTAAAAAATTTGATATAATTTCCCATACACTAGCAAATGCCAGATGGTTAAATATGTTAAATAGGAGAAAACTTCATTCATTAACCCTGTTTCACAAAATTTTAATTAAAAAAAGTCTTCCATATCTTTGGAATAAAATTATTTATCGTTCTGATGTTCATAGTAGAAATACACGAAAAAAAAATTCTATTGAGATTCCAAAACACCAAACACAATTTAAAAACTCGTTTTCATACCAGATAGCAAAGGAGTATAATAATATTCCTGTTTCGCTAATTAATTTATCCATAGCATCATTTAAAACAAAAATGTTTAAAATATTATATGATGACCAATGCACAAATTTGTAAGTTTGTAATTTGATTTTGTTTGGTTTATATAAATTACTAGGATCCATCGGCACCGCTCGTCGTTATTATCTTTCCTTAAAAAATAAAAGTCTTTTGTTTCTTGATGACCAGCGATGCAAACGGCCCATAGTACTTTTTTTGTTTTAGTTCTGTTTATTATATACATGTGTTACACCCTATTAGATTAGTTTAGATTATATTTGCAGGACTTTGAGGAAGAACAGCTTGAGCTGATCTTAGGACCTTTTGACCATGTTTATTTCTGGTACTTTAATTTTTTTTTTTTGTATTTTATTTTTTTTCAAATAATGTATTTTAAATGGTCAATAAAAATATTATTATTATTATTATTATTATTATTATTATTATTATTATTATTATTATTATTATTATTATTATTATTATTATTATTATTATTATTATTATTATGTATGACTAACGCGATACTAAAAAGTGAGAATTGTACCGGAGGATAAGCGAAAACAAATTTTAAAATAATTTATGCTTTTACTAATTTATAAAATAAACATAAAAAAAGATATAATAATTTGTCTACACCCCACATTAGAGCGTGGAAGAAGTTTGGTTCAAATTTAAGATTTTTTTTTCAAATTGTGGACCAAATAAAAATAAAAATGTTATTATTTATCGATTCTACAAAAAAATAACTGTATGTATATTTAATCTCAATAACTAAAAAATATACTGACAGTTTGACAGAATTGTCACTTATTTAAAATTTTAAATATAATAGTATTTGTGTCCAAAATATGAACTGTGATTGGTGTATTTAATTTTTTTGCAGTGTTCTCTCTGCGTAAAACGGATATAAAATATATTCGTTTATTTGAACGCAATTCAAACAAGTATTTTATATTGTTTTGTTTTTAGCTACACCTCTGGGACAAGTTCCAATTTTGGAAATAGATGGAAAACGTTACACTCAAACCATGCCAATTTGCAGATACTTAGGAAGATTGCTTAAAATTGACGGCAAAGATATGTTAGAAGATATGGCTATTGATTCTGCTGTTGAAATTATTTGGGATATACTTAAAAGTAAGTATCAAAACGGCTCTTTGAGATCCAGACAAGAGGTGACTGTAAAAAATATAGTTTACATATTATTTAATTTAATACTAATAGTACTTTCTAAAATAAATAATACACACAGATTGTTTGTGCTTATTACAAATAGTTTCATAAACATTTTAAAATTACAGTAACAGAAATTTAATAGAATACCTGAAAAGAGGGAATTTAAATCTATTTGTTAATAAATAATGAAGGTAAATGATATGAATGACATCCAGATTTATTCATAACTGTTAATTTATATGGTTTTTAGTTTAAATAATACTTTCTAACTTCTTTATGTAACTTTATTTCAATTTTAATCAACATATGTATTTCCAATGAACCACTAACGATAACACAAGTTTTTCCTTTAATAATCACAAGTATAATTTGAAAATATTAAACAAACAAATTTAACAAAGGCTCATTTTAATTAATTAAATTACTTTTTAATAGTCAGTTTTAATAGGAAACTTTATCATTTTACTTTGTATACTTTTCATATACCGGGTGTTTAAATAAGAATTCTTTATAATATATACAGGATGTCATTGAAAATTTTGAAGTAAGGGTACCTTAGAGCCCCATACCCCAAAATTTAAGATACCACCTTAAATTTTTCCGAAAATAAACCCATCCGAAATTTTCACAAAGACTTATTTAATTTTTTTTATAATTGATGACTTTAGAGTTAACTAATAAATCATTGATTTTTTATAGTTGCTTATGAACGCGCGATGGGAGGAGGTAACGAAGAAAAAAAAAAGCAATTATTGGATAAATTACATGAACAAATGCCTGTGTTATTAGGAAAATTTGAAGAAGATACCAAGAAAAATGGATTTATTGCAACAAACAAAGTGAGTATAATTATACTTCTTTACTTAGATTTTATCACCATTCTCCTTTACTATCAAATTTGACCATGTTCCAAATTTTAAAATTTATTTTATTCAATATATTTACTATTTACAGCTTTCTTGGGCCGATTTGGTGTTCCTTTGTGGATACGAAGACATGGAAAACCTTTTAGCGGGAGAAAACCCATTTGCTAAATACCCTCATCTACAAAAATTGAAAAATAAACTTCTCGAAAATAAAAATATTAAGGAATATCTCCTGAAAAGACCTACCAACACTATGATGACTGCTTACAACTTGAAAAATGATCTCAAATGATGTAAAAAAATGATTTGTTTTAAATAAATTTTTGTTTTTCTTAAAGTATGGTGATTTTTATCTAGATTTATGTAAAAAAAAACATAAATTGTTGAATCGGTTATTTAGAAAAGGACACAAACGATAATTTCAATCATTTTCGTTTTGTACGATTTTTCTATAATTTTATTGGTACAGCAAAGGAACAAAATATTACACTAGAGCTTTTAGAACTGAATTAACTAATTGATGTTTTCTCTCCTTCTTCACAAAACCTTTAGAATGTTGCTTATTTTGATGGATTGATGACACTTAATGCATGCTCTAGAGATTTTGTATAAATGCGTCTTTAACACATCCTTACTTTTCTTGTCCGGTTCCGGGGATGTGTATGGCTTAAATTGCCGGATATGCTAGCCTCGCAACAGTTAAGCAGTGATCTCTCCTGTCATGTCGTGTGGATGGGTGAGAGCTGGGAGGTTCCACCTTGGGCCGTGTCACCATGGGATTCATCCGACTAGCGTTTAACCATCGACGACGTGGAATGAATGAGAGTGAATGAGGGTGTAAATGGGAAAGTAGTAGGACCTTCAAATGGTGGTACAATAAGCCGCAGGCTGCAGTGCTGCCAGACTACAGACGGATTAGGGTAGCATGCGCAAGACTGGGGTAGCATTAAAATCAACCACCTCCACTCGTGACGCTGCAGTCGTGTGGTGGTGCAAGGGTGGTGCAAGTGGTGCAGTTGTTGCATGTGGTGGGAGTGTAAATGATAGATGACAGGTAAATATTGATTTTTGTGGGTGATGTCATAGCGTCTTGGCTAAAATGGAAGCGATGTTGTTTATATTGGTGACTTGGTTATATTCAATCGTGTTTTTATTTTCAATTTGCTTAATTGATCTAGTTGACCACTGTAAGCTTGTTTTCCCATTATAAATTTGTGCTTTTTCGCTGTTATTTTGTGTTTTTCCCATAAAAATGTCTAATTATAACAAATGTTGTGTACCGAATTACCTTGATCTGGAAAACAAGATGCATCGCTTGCCCCACCCTACGAATTCACCTGATTTATTTGATATTTGAGCACTTGCGGTTCGTTGTCCAAAATTTAAAAATAAAACAAGACTACAAATTTATTCCACCTTTGTAGTATGTCATAAACATTTTGAAGAGAAGTTTAAAGTATTTGGCTCTCGTCGAGATCTAATATTTGAAGCATTTCCAACGCTATTCCTACCAGCAGTTCCTGGAAGAGTAGTAGTAGTAGTAGTAGTAGTAGTAGTAGTAGTAGTAGTAGTAGTAGTAGTAGTAGTAGAAGTAGTATAAATACAAAAACAAAAAATCTAAAAAAATTAGTAGTTGAAGTAGTATAATTAGAAGTAAAACTACTAACAAAAAAACAAAACCCAGAAAAACTAGTAGTAGTGGTGGTGGTAGTAGTAATAGTGTGGTGTTCGTTTTAGGATTTTTTTTTCAGTGCAAAACAGTTGTGACTATGAAATAGCTTAATCATATATGTTGTACTTTTTTTCGAGAAGGAAAGTTAGTACTCGACTAATTTATTTTATACTTATAATGTGTATTTTCTGTTTCATTACGTTTGGGGTTGCAAAGCTGTATCGTAGAAGATCCTGGAAAGGAAAGTATTCATCGGACTTTTAATGTTTGATTAATGCATTTATTTTAATGAGGTTGTACTTATACTATCTTTCCTGTCTCACAGATAAAATTCTTTACAAAATGAAAGGCAGTGTTATATCCTAGAATATGTAGCAGCCATCCAGTTACTCCATACATAATTCAGTTTTCATATACATTACATTTTTTAAATATTGGATTTGTATATTGTTTTAATAAATTTATTTTTTGATTATGCTTATTTTTGTATCTAAAAACTGTTAGCCAAATTAAAATTTGTTCACAAAAACTGCATTTGCAAAAATACAGTTTGTGTGAACAAATCTTAATTTGGCTAACACTTTTTATTACAGATAATTGTTACTGCCAAATTTAAATAGCCCCGCGCTTTTCTTCTCTTCTTCTTTTTATTTTTCTTCTGTCATATGGTCTCTTATATGATAAGGACTTAATTGAAAAAATCAACCACGTCCTACAGGTGGCGCTGAAAATTCTATCACGGTTTTCTAACGTGAGAGTTACCATTCTAAGAGTAAAGCTTAATTTATAACCGCCGTAACGTAACTTAAGAACTTAACGTAAGAAGTTGAAATATTGAATTTACGTATACTTATTTATACTGTTCGTAACGTAACTTAAGAACTTAACGTACCGTAGAAAGTTCGCCAACTTTTAACTTAACAACTTAACTTAAGACCTTACGGTTAGCCAATGAGATAATTCTGAGTTCAGCATGTGATAACTGTCAATTATTCTTTTTATTTTTTTTTTATAAATGATTAGACAAATACCATTTGTAAACTATCATTCTCCTTTTTGATGGACATACATTATCATGAATGATTTGTGTTTATGTTATTGGGAATAAACTATTTATGAGATATGAGTGTTGATGCATATACCTATAAATATCAAGTCTAGAACTGAAATAAGACACAAAACTAGTTTGCTAGGAAAGATTAAATTCTCATTATTGCTCAAAAACAATCAACATCTTCGGTAAACTATTGTTTTATTATATTTTTATATTATTGCTTTTAAAGTAGTTAAAATATTCTTTCTATATAGCAAAATTATAATTTATAAGTTTTATTTAGAGGTTAGGTACATAGTTTACACTTGTTTATTTCATAAGGTTGTCAGTAATTTAATAATCTCTGAAATCAACACGCATGCTCAACTCTTACGTTACGGACGTTTATAAATATACTTTATTTTTATATGTTAGGTTAAGTTTCTACAGCGTTAAGTTAAGTTACGTTACGGTGGTTATAAATTATACTTAAGTGTTCTGTGGGCACAACTTATCCTGTGTGGACTTATGATCTCGTAGGCAAGCTTCCAGTCAACTGGAGTTGGTCTGATCCCCTTTCGACAGTAGCTTACTTGGTCTCCTGAATCTAGACCTGTTAGGATTGTTGAGACGGAAAATGCACGTTAGTATCTCTAGACTTTTTTCTAGTGTCGTAGTCTAGGTATCATCCTCTTTTTTGAGGAATCCTATATTAGTGACTGTAGAGTATGCAAGCGCGGTGTTTTTTATTCCCTTTGCTGTATAATAGCTTATCTTATTGCGGGTTTAGTATCGCAACTTTTCCACAAACAAGCCAAGGTTTCCACAGAAGGGCTATATCCAAGCCTTCCGTACATATTATGAGAGATGCTGCCTCAGCATGAAAGACATTCGCCTGCAGGACCTTCATGCTCCGTTATGGCTCATTGAGGAAGCCATCTCGGTGCTGCGTAGCATTTTGAGAGGTCTTCCGACACTTTTGGTAGATAGATATTTGGCGAACTTTTTGCCTTTTTTGTCCCGTAAGACGTTCGTTCTTTGGGCAGCCGAGTTTGTTGTATCTGATGTTCTTGGGCCCGTTTTGGCCTTAAAATTTATCTCCACCGGCGTTTGTGTATTTAGTTGGGAACCTTTTTGAATGAATTTAGCCCTTTATAAAGTTTCTCCTATTAATTCGCAATACCCAAGAAAGGTTTAAGCCGAATCTGCATAAATACACAAAACATCTAAATCTTTTACAAGGTTGTTCTAAACTGTATAAATGCACACGGTATAGATAATTTATTATTTATTTTCAGATTGCCTGTGGTTGCATACAAATAACATTGTAGGTAGATTTACGTTAATTTAATTATTTACCAAATAAAACAAGTAAAATTTACACATTTGATCCTTAAAATGCTTTGTTATTTAGCTAAGAATATAGTTTCTTAATTACCATCTTTTAAAATTATATTTACATCTATTCAAGCAGAGTAAAAGAAGAATCTAAATTTTCATAATGGCTCCTAGTTATAAAGTGATCCATTTTAATTTTAACGGAAGAGGAGAACCAATAAGAATGCTCTTAACTTGGGGAGGAATTCCATTTGAAGACAACAGAATTGAATGGGTTGACTGGCCAAAAATAAAACCAAGTATGAAAAAAAAAATAGAATATTCTACTTTTATTTTAAGTTAATATCAGAAAGTATGAATGCTTTAAATCAAATTTAATTTTTTGATTAAAGAAAGTATTTTATTTTGTTTTTATTTCTAGCTACACCTCTGGGACAACTTCCAGTTTTGGAAATAGATGGAAAAGGTTACACTCAAACTCTACCACTTTGCAGATATTTAGGAAGATTGCTTAAGCTTGACGGCAAAGATATGTTGGAAGATTTGGCTATAGATTCTGCTGTTGAAATGACTTGGGACATGCTTAGAAGTAAGTCTCTTTGACAATCAGACAATAGGTAACTGTAAAACATATGAATTTGAAATTTTACAAAATGTAATAGTGATTAAATAATAAATGTAAAGAATATATCCAGGTCATGTATAGCTGAAGATTTAAAGAATTTAGTTAGCTAGCTGACCCGTCTGACAGTCATTTAAATATGGTTTATTTATTTGAGAGACAAATATAGAAACCAAACAAAACTTTGAACTACATTTGAACACATTTTTTATAACAAATTACCATAAACTTATTTCAAAACAGTCATTGTATTTTTGAGTGTTTGCTAGAAAGTGTCGTGATTTTGGTATTTCGCCACGAAGCAATGAATGCAATGGCTCAGGTGGCGGAGTAAATAATGGTAATTACACTTTGCCATTAGGGCAGCACAATCTAGGCGTTTTTCCAGCAAGCTTCAATGCTTCAAAATACTTGCTAACAACGTCCATTGGACCAATGCGAACCAAAGGATGCAAATCAACACTTGAAACATTTCTTCTTGCGGTTTGTTGATCTGTGCGATTTCTCGTTGCAAACCGAGCCGTTTCCACTGACTGCCTCTTCTGCTCTTGTATTTGAAAAGCACGTAATTGGGCCATACTAACGCAGTATTGTTTTCGTGCCATTTCTCATTCTTCTTCTGGGTCGCAGTATCGTTAATAATACTCGCACAATGAAATGTATTAATGACACTTGCACAAAACAAACAAATCTACTGGTAACCTTTATATATTTTATATAAGAAAGTAAAAAAAGGCTTATCTTGTAGTGAAGTAGAAATATGTGCAAACTATTCAAAATACTACGCTCTTTCATAATCATTTATAATATATACTGCGGGTCATTGAACATTTTTAAGTATGGGTTGCTGCAACCCAGGATTTTCAATTTTTTGGGGCGGGGCAAAAACTAAAGAATGCCGCCCTCATCCGCCACTGATGGACATAGGCCTCCCCCAAAGAACCCCACAACTACCGGTATACGGCTGCTCTTTCTCTGTTAAGCCAATATTTTTTTGACAAATACCAAGATGTGTCTGTTGACAAATGTACTCTCCTGTCTTTCCAGCAACTTCTATAAAGTCAATGAAACTTTCTTTTATTTCACACACATCACCAGTTTTTTTTACATAGCTCATTTGTTCTGTAAGCGACACATCTGAAGTGCAATCGAACATTATTGTATAGTATTTGGCTTCTTTGATGTCGTTTAGAATGCTATTTCTGACTGTATTTGCCATTATGTCAATAATTTAATTCTGTATTGTTTTTGACAAATATGATACTTGTCCCTTTTTTAAGTTTTCTAATTGAAACTTAAGAGTTGGATTATGTTTGGAGAGAAGAAAAATTAAATTCAAGAAATTTCCTTGACCAGACTGAGGACATTGTGTAATGAGACCGCTAGGGATTTCGTGGGAACCACGAAAAGAAAAACAGTTTGTTGCTAGATATAATACAGCATCCATAACAATATGCAGGATCTGAAAGCTAAATGGAAAATGGTCCAAAAATTCAAGTTACTAACTTACAGTTTATCGGATATAAAGCCATCCGAAATTCAAGCGACTTCTGATATATTTTTTAAAATATTGATGACTTTAGAATTTAGTAATTAATCATTGATTTTTTATAGCTGCTTATAAACGCATGATGGAACCTAGTGAAGAAAGAAAAAATCAATTATTGGATAAACTACATGGTCAAATGACTGTGTTATTAGAAAAACTTGAAGAAAATACCAAGAAAAACGGATATATTGCAATAAACAGGGTAGGACCATTCTGCTTTACTAGAAGATATATTTCCAGTCCAAACTGACTCTGTTACAAATTTTAAAATACCTATAATCTTATTTTATTTAATATATTACTATTTACAGATTACTTGGGCAGATTTGGTATTCCTTTGCGGATACGAAGACTTGGAAAATCTTTTATTTGGTGAAAATCCGTTTGCTAAATACCCTAATCTCTCTGAAAAATAAGCTTCTCGAAAATGAAAATATTAGGGAATATCTCCTGAAAAGACCTACCAACACTTGGATGACTTCTTATAATCTGAAAAATGAATTCTAATTGTGAATAAAGTGAAAAATTTTGATTTGTTGTAAATAAATTTATGTTTTTCTTAAAGTGTGGTAATTTTTGTGTGTTTTTATGTAAAAAATACATTATTAATTCAAACTTTAGCATATTTTAATTATTATTTTACTTTGTATTGAAAAAGTACTTTGCTTTTCAGCATAAATCATTATATCTTCATTTTTTATTTTCCCTATATACTAATAAATATTTCTAAGAACTTTTTTTGTAAACTAATAATAACAAACTTTTCCATATGCTGACAACTTGAGTTTCACTATTTTTTTAGAAATATTACATACCTACATATAATTAGTAAAATCGTTTAACTTAAAAATATAATTTAGACTTTATATCACATTGGTTATGTTTGTTGTGTTGATAGGTCTCTTATGTATAGAAGATATGGGATCAGGCCAAGGACACTACCTTGTGGCACTCCATATATATATATATATATATATATATATATATATATATATATATATACTAGCCAGAGCACCTGAAAAAATTTCTCCAGAAGGTGTGTTTCTTTTATCTAAAAAAAAATTGTCCAATCAATTAATAAATTTTATACACAATTAATTTTTCCGAACAGCTATTGACGAACTGCAACTCTTCACAACCCCCTTCTTTCTGAAATAGTAATATTCGTCAGCTTCTCTGCTTTCTCCCCTTTACCTCTGGTTTGTGTCACGCTACTGTCTGTTAATTTCAATAAACTTATAGTGTCAAAATATTGTCTTAATGTCACTTAGACTTTCCAAAATACCTCTATTAAATCAATGAATAAATTACTTATCTTCTCTTTTCTTCCTCTTTGGATATCACCAACCGCTGTGCTCGTATCTTGGAACTACCTCTGTATCCCAACGAAATGATACTCCATTTACAAATATGTGTGTTTATTTCCAGAATGAATACATCAGATTCTGGACTTTGTGATTTTTTTCTTTTTAAATTCAGTGGTTCCTCTTTATATAAAGAGAAAAACCAATTTTCAAAAAAAATAATATTCAATCCAAGAGGATCAACTCTCAATACCTCACCCTTCGGTCGTTCCCCTTTGACAATCAATAAAAAAAATCACAATTCCATAACAACATAACAAAAAAAAAAACATTTTTTTTTATTTTCTAATCAATACGTCATAACTACACCTTGACATACACTGGGCGATATCTTTCCTGATCCCCATGACCAATCAGGAAACCACATCAAATCCCCCAAATTATTATATGCACAGATGTAAATCCAACATCCTGTACATATAAAAATTTTAACTTTTAAACAAATTCATTACCTCCAAACCTAATGTTTATCACATATTGGCCATTTGGTTAACATATTTCCTACATCAAATATCTACCTATGAACTATTAAACTACTAACTCATATAAATACAAATCCTGTATATTAAAAATACCACGAATTTTTTTACTATCTCTATACTTCAGAATATAGCTATTCTACCCCTTTTCGTTATCTACAATATACGGGCCCTCATACGGCAACTGAAGCTTCGCACATGTCTTTTGCTTTTTACTCGACAGCCTTAACGCCTTAACTACCACTAAATCCCCTTTTTTGAACCTTACTCGTTTCTTAATTCTGCTATTCATCCTATCCTTATATCTTTCAGCATTTCTCTGTTCCTTCTTCTTGACTTCCTCTAAACATGTTTCATATGCTTTTCTATTACTATCTATCCATTTACGCTCTGGAAAGACCCCTTTCATCACATATACCGGACTTTCCTCAGTAATTGTATTTGGCACATTATTTAAAAAACCCTCAACTTCATCCAATCGCTTTTCCCACTGCGTATGATCACCTCCTACCAATATCCTTAAGAACTTCATAACCTCTCTAATATATCTCTCTGCTGGATTTGCTGCCGGATGTCTTATACTAGTCACTCTACACTCTATGCCTTTATCTTTACAAAATTTCTCAAACCTTTTATTTCTAAAATATGTAGCATTATCCATAATAAGATATTCTGGAACACCTATCTCAACGCAATATTTACTCAATATACTCATCACTGTTCGACATTTCATCGTCTTTGTCGGATATAACTTAACAAATTTTGAAAATACATCTACCACAATAAAAATATTTGACTGACCATCCACACTTCTAATTAAATTACTAATAAAATCCATGGCCACTACTTCCAGACATTTATTCGACACTACCGTTTTCACCATATATTGATTCTTTAACAACGTGGTCAGTGCAAGATGATCTGTTTCTATCACGAATTTCCCTCCTAATAAATAAAATCTTAACTTCCCTATGCAGAAAATAATACTAGCTAACTCTAATTCTGATACACTATATTTCCTCTCATACAATTTTGTAACCCTTGATACAAAACAAATCGGCACCTCATTTCCCTCCTGATTTTGCACTAATACTCCTGCTAACTTTTCGTTCGATCAATAAAAAAAATCACAATTCCATAACAACATAACAAAAAAAAAACATTTTTTTTTATTTTCTAATCAATACGTCATAACTACACCTTGACATACACTGGGCGATGTCTTTCCTGATCCCCATGACCAATCAGGAAACCACATCAATATATATATATATATATATATATATATATATATATATATATATATACAGAAAAACCGTTGTTCTGTTTAACGAAAAGATGTTTATTAATTAAGTACTAAAGTATGCTATTTGTGAAGATATAATTCCCAATCCCCTTACATCTCAAAAGTTAAAACAAACCTAAAAAAAAATTAAAAACTTATATAAAATAATTGCATTTTATTTAATTATAATAATAAAAAGACGGTATTTTTAATTGTTTACAATATAGCTCATGTACTATTTTTGTTTACATTATATAATATATAAATAGAGCATCTAAAGCACTTACAAGATTGTCTTAAACTGGTAGCGCGTGCCCGATAATTTGCAGATAATTTATTTTTTTTATAACTTTTAGTTTGACTCTGGTTCGCCAAGAAACAACATTAAAGGTAGGTTTACATTAATTACTTACTAAATAAACATTTGCTACAATAAAGACATAAGGCAAAAATCGATATATTTTTTATATTAATGCATAAAAAAACTTTCTTACTATTTTCCCTTCGAACGTCAAAACTGGAAAGGGTCATCTTGTACCACTTTTACTTTTAATAATATATTATTTAAATTGGTATAAATCACTTGCTTTCATAATACGTTTATCGTTTTCTAAAAGAGTGTTATACTTTGCTTTGTGACGTTCTGGCTATAAATGTAATTTTTGTTTTAAGAATTATTTTACCTACAATATCGTATTATTATTGATTGTGTCTGTATTATTAGCTTTATTATTTGTAGAATGTTTATAACCATAATTCGTTCCTCATTAGTCTTGTTTGCTGGTTGTATTTAATCATGTTTGATAAAAAATTGTAACCTATTTTGTAATTAAATAATTCTTGTATTATGTTTCAAATACTATTTAAAATTTCATATTTTAAGCATTTTTTGTTTTTTAATTATTATTTAATTAGCTATCTTGTTTTAATCAAGTAAGAAACGGTATCATCAGAAGCTACATAGCTGAGGATATTTTCATAGACGAAACGTAGTAAAATGGTAAAGTGTAACATATCGTTGTATTTAGCTATACAGAAGCTATAAAAAATTACAGTTAAAAATCCAGGTCCGTATTTAAAAAAATAAGTTGAAGGTGGCCCTGCAAATACGAAACGTCTTAATAAAAATTTTGACATGGCAGATTATAGGGAACTTGATTTATAACAAAAACTTTGTATATTTTTTTTTGTATCTTTTATAATAACAACGCACGACTTAAAAAACGAAAATGAGGTTTTTCGGATTTTATCGAATATCTCCGGAACCAGTCAGAAAATCTTGAACTTCTATGGACCATTGTATTATCCGTCAAAATACGAAACTTTTTCCCCATTTAACCGACAATGTATGTCTTACGGTTTACGAGATCTCTGTATACGCAAATTAAATACGGTCTACCCTGTATTACCCTAATGTAAATTGTATTATGAAATATGACGTTTTTGTTGATAAACTATTTTTATTTTTCCGTAATATTTTTATTTATGACATTATTAAATAAAAATAGTGATTCTTTCAATTTTTCAAACAGTGGCATATTTTTTAAAGTGACTCTCTTAGTATAAATCTATGCTAAAGTAGTAATAATAATAATACTCATGCCAAATTCACCCCCTTACAAGTGAATTTAACTCTCCTCATTATTTATTGTCTACATTATTATTTACTTTCGTTTAAAGGGTAAGATTTTGTGTTTTTTTTTTAAATATAGCTCCAAATTATTTTATTTTTTGTGTATTCTCTTTATTTTCTGCAACAGCGTCGTATGTCTATTTGATACAATATTAATAATGAAATTTTTAACAAAAATGGTATAACTCAAAACAAATTTTCTTTTTACCACTTTATAATCATTACTAGCGTTCAGTTGTTTCTTTAATTGCACAATTATCAATCCAAAAACTTCACTTCATTTAAAAAAAAATTATTTGAAAATTATAGCCCCCTTTTCTAAAAAAAAGATAATTTCTAGTTAAGTCGTCATAGCAGCAAATGAGCAGTTTAGCTCAGAACATAATTTTTAATATCTGTGTAACTTGTAAATACAATTTTTGTATCTACTCCTGCAGGGTAAACGAAGAATCAAAATTTTTATAATGGCTCCAAGTTATAAATTGATCTACTTCAATTTCACCGGAAGAGGAGAACCAATAAGGATGCTTCTGACTTATGGAGGAATTCCATTTGAAGACATCCGATTTGAAGTGGATGAATGGCCAAAAATAAAACCTAGTAAGAATAATTTATTGGGTTATTATACTTTTAATTTGAATTAATATCAGAAAGTTGAATAACTGAAGACCTTTATTTCAAAACTGCCAAGATGTAAATTTTTTGATTTTGTATTGTTTCTAGCAACACCTCTGGGACAAGTTCCAATTTTGGAAATAGATGGAAAGAGCTACACTCAAACCATACCACTTTGCAGATATTTAGGAAGACTGCTTAAGATTGACGGCAAAGATATGGTAGAAGATTTGGCTATAGAATCTGCTGTTGAAATGATTTGGGATATGCTTAAAAGTGAGTTGTTATGGGTTTATTGCATATTAACAGGTAATTTAATTTAAAAAATAAATTTACTACGACTATCAAAATATATGATGAATAATACCAATGAATTTTTTCAGGAGGTTATTTAAAACTTAAACAACCTTAATCCTCAAAAATAATAATAATGACAAAAAAATACTCTAAGAATTGGTTGTGTTTACATAAATATTTCTAAAGCATAGAGCAAAGATCATTTAAATATTCTTCTTCTGATTGGTTCTTCTTTAACCACTACTGTTATAAATGTTACTAGGCCTTTTATTATATCGCAGTTGGTTAGTGGTTAATCTTTAACCAATGGTTAAATCAAATTCTTTTGCTGCGCAATTGGCTACCATTGAGATTTTTTTAGAAAGTGACAACACTTCGACAATTTTGACATTTCATTTTTTATCAGCTGTCATATTCATTGACTTCCTTCATACTTCTTTCTTCTACCTTCGTCATCTTCATTTGAGGTAACTAGGTTGCGATACAACCCGCCCTTATGTGGCTGCTTATCCCCTTGGTTATTGGTCTTTACTTCTTCCATGATTCTCAAGAGTACCTTTCTCTCTTTTCTGTTCCCGCTTTCTTTTCCTGGCTAACCTAGTGATGTACACTTGATGCAATATCGAATTATACTGACTTACATAGTCTGAAAAGTATAACTATTAGAATTGAAGACACAAGTGGATAAAGGGCATATGTTACATTTTTTTAATGGCGTTTTTCTGTAAATGAAGGGCTTATGTACCTAAAATTCGTTTAAAATGTCTTCCGTGGCAATATATCATCAAATATAGAAGTTGCCAGTGGAGAAAGGACCCAAGTACTAGGGAATAACTGCCAAACAATAAACTTTAACACGAAATGTCTAGTAAAAATTATTTTGCTACATAGACGCTTCATCCACTTAGAGAATTATACACACTTGTGTGGATTTAATTTTCCTAATTTAGAACAATATGGAAAACTTACGAAGTCCCACTCCAACACTGACTTCTGATTATACTTATCTCGTTTTTGCTTACCTATTGATTCATCCTTTATCTTTGGCCGCTATGAGATCTGTAACAGTTGATTAATAGCTTGTAGGATATAGCTTTCCCTGCTTGCTTGCTGCTTCCTGTCCAATTGAATCTGCTCTTCCTAGCCTGCTTTAGTAATTGAAACACTTCAATTGCTGCATCAGGACATTGGATGGTCAGATTTCAAGCTGTTTGAATATAATATTCGATAAATTTTAATTTTTCCTGGAAACAATAATCAACATCCTAATAGCCAGGAAAACATACTGATGCATGTAGAGCCTTCTCTAGTTAAGTTTCTGTATGTATTTTTTTATAGCTGCATATGAAAGCAAATTTGAACCTCAAGAAGAAAGACAAAAGCAATTGTTGGATAAACTGCATGGCCAAATGACTGTACTATTAGCAAAACTTGAAGAAGATACCAAGAAAAACGGATACATTGCAATAAACAGGGTGGGTAATAATAACAATTTGTATTTTATTTTGTTCAATGATTTTATTGATTACAGATTTCTTGGGCAGATTTGATATTCCTTTGTGGGTACGAAGACTTGGAAAACATTCTAGCAGGTGAAAACACGTTTGTTAAATACCCTAATCTACTGAAACTGAAAAAGAAGCTTCTTGAAAATAAAAATATTAGGGAATATCTCCAAAAAAGACCTGCCAACCCTCTAATGACTGCTTACAGCTTAAAAAATGATCTGTAATAAGTTGTGAATGATTTATTTCAAAAAGATATCTGTATTTCTTGCATTGTGTTGATTTTTGTATAGTTTTATATACAGTTTGGCAGACTAATGTTACAATAGCATATCAATATTTTTTGTTTTTCTACTCATGGTTTTTATAACTATTATTAAATATATATAAAATCGTATTGACTTTTACTTTAAGAATACCTTATCCAAAAAATTACCTCTTTCTGACGAGATATTATCACGTTATTTTGGTGATATAAGGTTCTTTCTTTCTCTATTGTTGCAGTGTGCCTAGTTTACTTCATTCTTATTCCTTACACACATGTCGAGTTTAATTCACTCCTGCTAAATAGCTGGTGGAGAAACTATCCACTAGTGGACACCACATTGCCGACAGGAAGGTCTACTGGATTTTACACCGAGCCAAACGAACGGCATAGTGTCCGGTGGTGTAGTTCATTCCTACACCAGTGGGACGAACTAAATAAGTATGACGTCATTTTAACATCACTCTGCTCTGTGACATACTGACGTCATATTTCACGGGAATAACACGTCATGTTGTTGGTCACTAGGCGTGACAGGTGTCCAAAAAATCGCGTCATAATGACAGGTAGGGGAGCTGGGGCTCACTTACAACTAAACAAAATAATGATGGATACTTCCAAACTCCGATCTCCCCAACCATCTCTTATAAATAGGTTGATTACTTTTCAGTACAATAACAACAACAGAACTGTCACATTAATTAAGATTATTTAAAGATGAACATTTATCATTTTTAATTGGTTTTAATTTTACAAATTTATCCAGGTCTGGAATTGATATAAAAGTAAGAAATTATATATTTCTGTTTCTTTATGATATTAAAGATTGCAATAATATAATCATTTATGCAAATACGACCATCCATTGTTGTCTAATTGTCAAACTAATCAATAAATATAGGAAAATTTTAAAATATAACGTTATACTTGTTTTGACTATGTTACAGTTTTGATTCCATGTTAGACAGATGGAGACTATATTGAGAAACAATTTTAAAAATAAGTTAATGATATAAATATACATTTTTAGTCTTGCTTCTTGCAACAGAATGTTTTTATAATCTCCAGTGTGTGTATTCTTACCTAATATCTCAATTCATATGTCAATGGCCGATAAAAAAAACAAATAAAGTAATCATAACTTTGAATTCATTTATTTTGAATAACTTCTTGATTATAAATTAGATTCAGGAATGAGAATTCGATTTGGTTTTTATGTAAACTGTAAACCAACAATAAAAATTAAATTGTTCTGCTTTTGTAGATCATTTCTAGAATTATTTAATGTTTTATAATCTTCTTAAATAAACATATTTTTAACTTTTACTATCAAATAAGTAAGTATATCATTTATTTGCTCTAAGTAAATAAAACTTATTTGGTATAATCAAGTCAAGATAAATGGTTTACGATATTTGCAGGTACCTAATTTTAATTAAAAATACCAACTATTATGCTTTGTTTCAATGTCGTCAGACAGGTTTGTACTTAGTCAAATCAAAAATTTAGTTTTTAGGTTATTTAACCTTAGTCAAATATATTTCTTCCAATACGCCATGCACAAATGCATGTGAAAGCTACAGAAAGTTGGCATAGGAGCGAACGTTGCTATTTATATGAACCGACCGCGTTGAAACGTTGGCCAGGCCGTACAGGCTGGCATCGCTGGTATTGTTCCTTTCCTGCTTATTCATATATATTTCTCCTATGAGGTGGAATGTGAAATATTGTAAGTTTCTGGAGTTTAGCCTAGGAACGTGGAAGTTGATCATGTTGAATAACTCCATACAGTCAACAGACTCATTATTAACTTTGTGTAAAAATGTGACAGAGAGCATTATTCTGCGTTTTACAATGCTGCAGGATTCGAATCGGTCATAAAAATATTCTTGTGGAGTGCCTCTAGTGGGAAATAAATTATCTAAAATAAAAGTGGCATATTTAAAAAATCTCCACTGAACTCTTTCTAGGTGAGTTATCTGATTATTATAAATTGGGCTCCAAATAATGCATCCGTATTCAAGTTTAGATCGAACAAGAGCTGTAAATTCATTGTATGGAACTCTCGAAAATCTTTCATGTTCCAAGATCCGAAAAGAAGATGATACCGTCTTATCAATATGAGCACCGAATATTAGCTTGGGATCGTAGTAGACACCGATATCTTTTATCAACTCAGGCCTTGATAGCGTAATATCCTGAAGTATATAATTAAATTGCATGATTGACTCTTTAGAGAAAGTCATTATGTTTATTGGCATTTAGAGACAATTTGTTGGCAGCCCACCAATCATTTAATAGGTTAATATCACGATGTAGAGAGTGGCAATCATTCAAGTTATTATTGTTGTGGAATAGTTTTAAATAATCAGGATATAGTAAATATTTTACATCAATATTAGTTACGATATGGTTAACAACAATGTTGAAGAGAAGAGAACCCAGAATAGAGCCTTGAGGAACTCCGGAAGTTTGAGAAAATACACCTGATTTGAGACCCAGACATTGAACAAATTGGGTGCATCCAGATATATATGATTTTATGACAGTTATTAGCTGTTCAGACATTCCGACCTGGTGAAGTTTTGTTAGTAGTATGCCATGATCCAACCTATCAAAGACTTTGGAAAAATCAGTATAGATTAGGTCTACCTGATTCTTTTTGTCAATTGGCTCACACAAGAACTGTGTAAAACAAAATAGATTTGTTATAGTAGAACGTCCTCTGATGAATCCATGTTGTTCAGGAGCTTGAAAGAGAGATGATCATGCAAAATAATCTCAAATGTTTTTGAGAAGTTGCACAGAATAGTAATAGGCCTATAATTGCATATTTCGTTTCGATTACCTTTTTTAAAAACAGGGCATATTCGAGAAAGCTTCCACACAGTTGGGAACGTACCCGATGATAGCATTAAGATATATTGTAAAGGTTTACAAAAATTCGAGCACAGTCTTTAATTAGAAAAGAAGGAATCAGATCAGGGTTGGTCGTTGTTTTTGACTTCATTTTTTTAGGCAATCAGAACTTCGTTTTCTGTAAAAAAGTTACTAAATTGAGCAAGATGTAACGTTGGAGGCAGTGTATGGTCCTGACGCAATATAATTTCCAGCGGAAAAGGTGGCAAAGTGTTCAACTATGTCCTGGGCATTTTCCGAGAACTTTTTCTTGTACAACTTGGAGGACAGAACTTGTTCACATAATACCACAACAAACGGATACCTCTCTCCAGCCATCTGGAGTTTGTCTTAGCACTTTTGGGGATCAACCCCATGTTTTTGTCAGGCTCCATGAAGGAATGGCCGAGCACTGGGTAATTGTCACAGTGTCAAATCTTTTTAGATCAGCAGTTACGTAGTGGAGGAACTGGATGATGGTGAGGTTTTTGTTTTGTCTCCCGCACGAATCAGCGAAGACATAAAGTTTCTTAACAGCATCAGGATATAGGTAGATATTGAAAAAATAATAGAGTAGTGATGAGACTGCGTTTTATTACGCAGTGGACAGTGGTATATCAGAAAAAAATATGAGGTAGAGTATACATGCTATTTAATTTTTTTATTTATTGCCAAATTTGAGGGCTTGTTGCCCCAGTGTGCGACGGTTTGGTTGTAAGTGTACAATACTGAAGCACCAGTTGACAAAATATGCACATTGAAAATATAGAATGACAGCTGTTTTCTGAAGTACACCTTAACAGAAATTATATTCGGAGTAGGGAGATTTTTTCCGAAATCAGCCTCTACAGTTGATGATTTTCTAGCTTCAGTTTTTGCACGCCTTTTCAAATCATAGAACCAATCTGCTTTCTTCAAATGAAGTGTCTTCTCAGTTTCTAGCTTCCTACTTTCCTCGTCTAACTTTAACTTTTTTCCTATCCAACTCAGTCATTTTGGCTTTCTGCTCATCACACCAACAGCACGTTTCGGTTCGTGGATAACCGAATTCGATGTTGAACTTACACAAAGATTTGCCTGAATGTTTTATAACACATCCCAATATGGGGCTGTTTAGTCAAAAATAATGCAAGACGCTTTTTAACATTCATATCTTCCGGGAGGTATACTTTGTTAGAGTCCTTCAAGCTGTAGTGCGCTTTACGTCCCTTTAAGGAGCCAAAAAAACTGCAATAACAATTCAAGGGTTTGTTGAAACATCTTATGAGGTCTCTTGGTATGCTTTTCCCTTCCATCAATCGGCGGCTTGCCATTTGTTCTTAAAGATGTTTTGATTGTATGTAATCGAAAGGCTTTAATTCTAAAAAGTGATTGAAATGCTTTAAAACATACTGGCACCTCTTCTGCTCTATTATTTCTAATAACTCTTACTTTATAGCTGTAGGAGCTTTCGTTCAATCTAGCATCTTCTTCATTTTGCCTTGGCCTTCGTCGAAAAACAGGTCGTAATGAGATAAGGCCAGATAAGTAACTATTTTGGGCATCATGACTATTCTCACGTCCAATATTATTAAATTGTCTTATTAACTCACTTTGTTTGGCGACAGAAATACTCTCAAAGCACCTATACCGCTTATATTGGCAGCTTTTTCCGGTTTCAAACATCGAGGACCTTAGCTTCTTAGCAACATCTCTAAGGTGGCCATATTTTTTACGCTTTTTCGTTGACTTTTTTGTATTAACACTTATATTTTCGTTACTGTCCAACATTTTAAACAATCTTACTTGCTTCACTGAACGTGTTGAATCAACAGCTAAGTAAACACAGCTGAAGGCTAAAGCGTAGCCAACTAGATAATGCAGAATTTTGGCTTCTCGATAGTGGGAGAAACTACACATTTTAATATTTTATGGACTGTGTTGGTTATTCCCATGTTTCCGGTGGACTATGTTGGTTTTTCCCCTGCAGTATATATTTATAACCTTGAATATCTCATGAAGGTATTTTTGCAAATATAATTGATTCAGTTTCCCTAAGAACAGAACTGCCCACTGAGCACCGTGATGGGCGCATAAGACAAGTCTTGACAAGAGATCAAGTAGTTCAAAAATATAAAATTCTGTATTATGAAATCCAGGACACAATTTTAGAACAAATCAACACTCGCTTTCAAATGTTTTGTATTTTCGAAGAGCTTTCGTACAGAAGCACTAACTAATTTAGTTCAAAGTTATCCTAGTATATTAAATTAATTACAAAGGTTAAAAAATGAGTTACAGTTTATTTACAGTGATGAAAACTTTATAAATATTGACATCGATAAATTGTTGGAAAGACTATTTGAGAATCGTGATATTTTCAAAGAAGCCTATAAGGTACATTGCTTAATCCTAACTATTTCATCCACTAGTGTTTCAGTCGAATGTAGTTTTTCTTATTTAAAACGAATTAAAACATATCTACGAAATACAATAACAGAAGATCGGCTTACCAATTTAGCAAAAATTTCAATTGAAAAGACACTCTTAAATGAACTTTTACGATCAGAGCCATTTTATGATGATACAATGGATAATTTTGCAAGTTTAAAGGATAGGAGAATCGACCTTATGTACAAAAAATAAAAAAGTCGATTTTTGTTTGTTTTATTTTTAACGCATCACCTACATTCAAACCCACGAGCCGCCTCTGGTTTTAAACAGTATTGAAGTTAATTTTAGAAATAGGGGAAATATATAATAGGAATTCATAAGTGCTTTTTTGTTTCTAGAATATTTTAATTATTCTATTTTTTATAGATAACGAATTCGATCCCGGTTTTTACAAATGCCATAAAATTTTTTGTTTGTTTATACATCTACATACCCTGTAACTATATTTCTATAATTTTCTGGTATAAGAATTATTATATATCCTCTATAGATTTTTCAGCTCTTCCTACAATAATCACATGATGTTGAACAATAGTATGTAAGCAAGCTCTCCTTTCATGTCACTTTTTTTTCTATTTAAGCTCTTATACTAACTTATATCTCATCAAACGCCATATTTAAATAATAATAAGAAGAATTATATACAGGAATTAAATAATATGAACTTGTCGTCTAAAAACAGTTATAAATAAATAAATTAAAGTACAATTCTGCTTCTTAATAGATACGCATATTATTAAATATAGCTCCAATGGAAATTATTTGTTGATAACAATGGAACCTCAAGCAATTGCCTCACAACCTACTGTGCCACTTAGGATTAATTTAAACGTCAATCAAATTAAGAAAATCTCAAACGATTTATACGATATAAATGCGGTCAAAATTAAAGAACTGAACGGTTACGACGATAAAAACTATTTAATTTGTCACGAAACGGGTAAACATTTTGTTTTAAAAATTATCAATACCGTTGATTCGGAAAAGCCGGAAATTTTTGATGCGCAATCTCTGCTTTTGGTGCATCTGGGTAAGTTGTGAGAAATGTGCTTATTTTTTTTTGTGAAAAATATTTATACAAAATTGCATGGCTTTTAAAAATAAATCTTAAATATTTTTTATATATATTTTTTTAGTTTCTTTATCCTAATTTGCAAAATTAATAAATTGATAAGCCTCTCCAGAATATATTTTTTATCGAAATAATTCATTTTTTCCTACACGATTGCCAATATACCATTTTATATGTCGTGACCTTATTTATTTTATAGAAACTTATTTTGCAAATACGCCTATGGAATGTGCCCTTATGTCCTCACTTTTACTGCACACTTTTTTTATTCAGACTATAGTAGGATATTAGGAAAAATTGAATGTGTTATGTCCTCCGAAGTTAAATCCAAGAACGTTTTCTTCTAATGCTTTTTCAATGATGTTGATTTATATTCATTTTTCACCTTTTTAGTCTATTTTTTGAATTTTTGGTTGGTATAAGCAATAATTTATTTAAAATACTGAAATTTGTTCAAGGGAACCATGGAATACAATGCCCAAAACCAATTAAAACCAAAAACGGTAAATTATTCGAAAAATATAGCCTCAACAGTGGAGACCATATAGTCAGACTTCTAAAATATATTGATGGAACTATACTAATGAAAGTACCACATTGTTCGTCTCTCTTGTACCAAATCGGCGAAACAACAGCTAGAATGAACAACGTGATGAAAGTATATTTTATAAATAAATATAATTTAGGAACAAATATAATATATTTATTCAATTGTAGAGTTTTAAACACCCAGCTTATGACAGTTACCATTCTATTTGGATGTTGGAATCAGTTCCTCACGTAAATCAATTCGTGGATGCTGTTAAAGATGAAAAGAGAAAACAGCTAGTTCAAACAATAATAAAAGAGTTCATTACACGTATTTTACCTGTAAAAAATACACTACAAAAAGGTATTTTTATTATCTATTCCTGTAACAAGATTTACTTCAATTCATGATAATATCTATATTGTTTTTTCTTGTTTTTAAAGATAGGTACATTTCTGAGCTTGAGGAGAAAATACACTTGATATTTCTATAATATTAATTGTATATAATTTTAAAATTTTAGGTCTTATTCATGGAGACATCAACGAACAAAACATCATTGTTGATGAAGAAAAAGGAAATTACCGAATCAAGGCTATAATAGACTATGGAGACTGCCATATTGGATGTTACTTATACGAATTGGCTATTACCATGACATATATGATAATTCTAGCTAAAGATATTGCTGCAGGAAAACATGTACTATCAGGCTATTCTTCAGTAAGAAAAGTTAGTGATTTGGAATATTCTTTACTAAAGGTAAACATAGTTACTGAACTTACTTAATAATTAGGCTTCAAATAATCAGATATGGATTTCTCATGACCATATTTATGGCATCCTTTGGGTAATTTACGTCAAATTATATTCAAACATAGAGTTTGTCCAAATAATTAAATTTACGTTTTATTACAAGTACATAGCAAATTCTTAAGAAATAAAACATACAAGAACCTATAATTTTCAATGATAAAGTATCCTTTAAATGTTAAAAACTTTTAAATATACAGTGCTTATTTTTTCGTGTTATGCATACTACTAGTATACAAGCTAATAAAATGGCAACAAGGCAACAGCTAGTAGTCGACAAAAATTAGAAGATATGGTGGTGGGATATTAGCCGAACCGAATGTAAGGCACAAAGCTAGAAAGCATAGCCATAGCGGAGATATCGTAGTTAGGGTAAGGTGGGGTAAGTGTGTATCTGGAGTAAGTGTGTAGATGCATCATAACTTCTACTCGGTGGTTTATTGTGGCTCCATCTATGAGCAAGAGTACAACTACATGTTATATCATTTTCTAATGAAGAATGTTTGAGCTCAAATAATTCCTAGACACGCTGTGGTACGAGTATCTAAAGAAAACACATGACAGTGTGGGCACTGAAGACAATTTGGTTAATAATTTTTAATCTGCCGTCGTCCTCAAAAAGCAAAGTGATTTTATTAATTAAATCAATATAACAAGTTGAAAAAGTAAGTCTTTTCGTAGTTTTGCAAATATTTTTGTATTTTTTAGATATAACCGAAAAATTTTATTTACTGAACAAGTTGCCCCACAGAAATCTGATGTGTTTGCAAGTGTGTAGTAAATAGTATGGGCAAGTATACTACATACTTGCTCCATGGGAATAATTACCCAATACGGTGCTCATAAGAAATACAGTATCCCCCAGATGACACTTAGTTATCACAGGCGACGAATTAGAGGCAAGAAAAGTTCATCTATGGGAAGATACACGGCAATTCCCATTAAGAAGCTAAACTCGCCGAATGTTTAATCACAATCACATCGTGTTTAAAGCAAAAAACATGTGGGATGACTGGATTGCTCCTTCTACAGACGAATACCCAAGAACTTTATATGCCACGGCTGCCAATGGATGGATGGAATCCCAAGTTGGACCTGATCGGCCGTCTTACTTATATATGTCCCTGACCTCTTTAAATGCATAAATAAGCAAAATATACACCAAGTACATACTTACCCCACTTCAAGAGGTAAGTGTATAGTACATACCTTGTTTAAAAAAAATAGCACAGAATGAAAAGTTTTAACATTTTAATGATTTTGCTACTACCGCAGATTAGGAAAACAACAAGTAACGTACTGATGTCAAGAAATTTAATTATTTTCTTTGGTTGAATTTTTACGAGTACATATAAATAAACTTGCATAATTTTACTAAACTCTTACTCCACCTTACCTTACCACATGTTCGCTGTGAAAGCACGGCTATGCTTAACACAAAATAATAGGTACTCTATTATGAAATTGGTCCTAGTTCTATTAAATCATTTTGAAACAATACACTTATGTTTATTGTTATTATTAATTTATTGTTATATTTATTCTTGTAAAGCAAGATATATGTATCTGTAATAAACATATTATTGTTATTATTTCTTTAGTTATGTATAGCTGCACGGTTCTGCCAGTCTTTAGTGTTGGGTGCATACACCTATCAGCAAGATCCTAAGAATACATACGTTCTTACCACAGCAGAACACGGATGGCCATTATTAGAAAAATTGTGGGAACAACCTGATGAGCAATTATTAAAAATTTGGACGACTGATGAATTTAATAATAAGAAAATATGATTTATATATTATTATGAACAAAAATATTATTTCTAATTTGTTATATGATACGATTATCTAAATAACATTATGATTTCCATTAATATTCGTTTTATTTTGGACTGAAACAGAAAGATCCTCTTTTTCCTATAAGCTTCCGGAAATTCTCTACCATAAATATTTTTTAAAATCATAATTTGATATAAATTTGACCACAAAAATATCAGTATCTCCATTTAAGGCTGTTCAATTCTTTTTGACGGACGCCATATTAGAAGATTGTGGAGCGAATCACGTTAATAAAACTGACGCCCGAGTAATTTTCAAAATAAAAACGTCAAAGGTAATGATTATTTTCTTTTGAAGTACTTAACAATCATTTTTCGTTTCTATATAAATTTTTATGTATTTTATATAGCGTGTTGCTGGTTGCCTATCACTTTAGGATGCCAATTCATGAAAATATAGTTATCTGAACTTAAGTGATAAAAATAATTTATTCACAGAATAATAATGATACATTAAATGTGCATTTTTAACAAGATATTTCTCACACTACCTGAAATAATAATAATTTTAATGACAATGACAACTGTCTTCTGGTATCCGTCTAAATTCATCAATAAGACACTGCCAAGAATCTAAAATTTCTTCATGATGACTAATTGTTTTATCAAACCTTTGTATTTTTTCTGAACATTTCTTAATCTCTCGCGTTCCATCTTCACAAAAATTTGTACAAAGTTGTAATACTTCATTTCTTTTCTCCATTTCTTTTTCTAAGTTGTTCAACCTCTCTTCAAGATATTTACGCTCTTCAAAATCTGTTCGCAGTTCATTGTTAATTTTACTGAGTAAACTTTGCGTTTTCTTCGACATCTGATCGTATTCTTCGTCTTCAGAGTTTAAACTTATAGGACAATTTCTATAATCGAAATCACCCATACCAGAACTACGAAAAAATGTATTTTGGTTATTAAGTATAACAGATATAACAAAAACAAAATATAATGGCGAAATATAAAACGTTAATTGAATAAATTTACAAACAAAACTAACCTGTTATGTCTTTGTTCTTGTATATTGTCCATTTTGGAGTCGCCTTTATTTTTCAAATTTTCTTTGGATTCCTGATGCCTTTTTAACAAAGGTTTGATATAATCCAGCATAATAAAGTGTATATATTTCATTTGGATTAATTTTCGCTTTCGCGGAACCAAAAAGTTTGACAACACGTTAAATCGATATTATGTCAGTAAAAAATAAAATGATTGGAAACGTTAGCAACTGAAAAAGTGAAAGACCGAGAATGTTCGCTTGCTTTTTTTTATTCCTTGTAGAGCATGAAGCTAGAAGATACGGAGAAGCTGTCAAGTTTACACAATAATTGACGGTGAGGTTCTCTCACTTTCTTTCCCAGTTTATATGTGAATTGTTCTTGATTTATTAGCCTTCAAATTTTTTAACTAAAATTGCTTTAAGGAGAAATAATAAAAATATACTTATATAACATACACAATTTTTATTTTTAATAAAGTATCGCACAACATGAGTTAAATTATTTTATTTTTTTATATCAGATTGATGTATTATATTATTTTTGGATGGTTCCAACATTTCTTCGCAAATGGCCTTTGACATTTCCTGGAGCGTTGAATTCACTGCTTCTTTGTCTCTGAAGAAAGATTAATATTTATTTAAACACTTTATTGATGAAAATGAACCATATTCTAAATGTTGTCTGCTAAAATCCATGGGTTTCTGCTAAGGCTACCAAATTGTGGTTAAACAAATGACTTGCGATTTAAAAACATTTATATTAATTCAAAATCGTTACACCAAAAAAAATATATATGAATATTTGATGTTTTAATACTGGGTTATTTTACGTTCAATAAAAATCAAGATATAATTCAACCAGTAGATGACATGCCAAATTCCATATTTATAATAGATCATATTTTTTAAGCATAGTACGCAACATAAATATAATTTGCTTTTATTTGACAGAAAACATATTCAAATATTCCAAAACAATTAACTAGAGATAATTCAAATTTATTCATTTTGTAACCGAGGGGGTCACTTTTGCCCCTAATATATATTAATCTTTAATTTTTAAAGATTTAAAATTTTTAACTCATAATTTTTTTATTCGACTCTATTGTCACTCTTAGCATACTTAAATTTTGAGAAAAATATTATAAATTGTTTTTATTGGGCACAATTAATTCGAGATAATTCAAATCTATTCATTATTTTTGTAAGAAAGACCAGATCTTTCTTTTAAGAAATTCAAAAAATATTTAAGAAATATTGGCGTGAAAAATGTCCCTTTCCAGACTCATAATGTATTATACTATATTGTCTTGTCATCACTAATCCACTTACTTGTTATCTGGAGATGCACATATTTCGGTGTAGTACTTTATTTTAGGTTCAGTACCACTAGTCCGCAAGGTACACACCAAACCATTTTCGAAATAGAATGTTATCATTTCAGCGCTGGGCGAAACAGGTAATATAGCTTTCTTATCTGGCTGGTTATCATCGAACCCTGTTGTTACATCCCTTACATTTTTGATTTTATATTTACCATTCAAAATCGATTGAGGATACTAAAAAATAACATACATAATTGAAGGCACATATTTAAACAGGCTTCTCTTAAAATAGTTTTGATAATAATAAAAACTAATGAAAATATTCTATTGTATATCTATAGCCGCAAGTAATTTAAAGTACTAAAATGATATTTGTAACTCTGATAGTTTTTTAATCATCTGCTTGCGATAATAGTAATAGAGAGAATGACCTGCTAACCCGAGAAGAAGCCTGAATGGTTCTGGATGGCTCAGAATCCAATGGTAATTGATAATACACATAATAAATTGTTACAAGTTTATCTACTACCGTATTTGGTCCTCGAATATTCCTAATCCTTTCAAAAATTTTCTTTATTACCTCTGCATCTTTACATACATAATAAGAATTGTTAGTGATATGTAAACCATATTTATCGAATATTTCATCTAATAATTTATTCATCGTTTTAGACTGGTTGTAGATGTATGACGCGCACGAACACATCTGCGCACACGCAGATACTCCATCTTTGTCTAACACTTCGGTGGAACACATGTATCCTATGGCTTCTTCGAAGCACAAAATCACTTTGTTTCCTTTCTTTTCCAGGTCATAAGCTTTGTTTGCTGAAATAAATTAATGTAACGCTACATTATTTAAAACTAGTGAAGGCTTATGGTGAAATGGGTTTCGGTAAAAGTAGGTAGGTAACTGCAGAATATCAAAAATTCAGGAAATTTCACCGAAACACATTTCTCCATAATCCGGCTGCCTATTTTCGTTTATACCTAACCATTTGTATCCTGTAAGAACATCTATAGTGTTAAATCCTTCTACTTTAGCCATGGACTTGCAAATCATAGAACTAACAGTGCTGTATATCATGTAAACTTTATTAATCGGTACCGTAGATTTGGACTGTCTGAAAGAATGCAACATCCACCAAGCAAACATGGCGCCCAATTGATTGCCGGTATATATTTTCCACCCACTGTAAAAATAAATATTAACATCGTTTTACACTGTATGATAAAGAAATGCTTACTCTGTTAGTTTTTCTGCCATTGCGAATCTATCGGCATCAGGATCAGTAGCCATTATTAATTTGCTGTCATTTGCGTCGGCATATTTCATAGATAACTCTAGACAACTTTTCCCTTCTTCAGGATTTGGAAACCTTGAAAATATTTAAAAAGTATCTAGATATTTCTCATAAATGATATGTAAGAAGGGTCCACTGCAAAATCCAATAAGATCCCTCAGACCAAAGGTTTCAGGAGAGCAGAAAAATCGTTTTTTAAGTCTTCACCATCGGCATGTTTGAGATCTTTATCATAGTTTTGGGCGTTTGTCATAGGAATCATTAGAAATTGCTTCAGATGCTGAAAGTATCGATGCTTTGCAGTTTTTATGGAGACTCTTCTATGTTATGATCCTTTAAAGGGTCTACTCTCGCAGAGCATCTTCTCGAAATTCCCTGTTTGCAGAACGACCAGGTCATCTGCATACGCTATTGTATAGTGTTTGTCATTATTAAGGCGGATGATGAGGGTGTCGAGGACCATGTTCCACAGCAGAGCTGATAATACTCCCTGTGGACATCCCCTCGCAACCAAGTCTCTTATGATCACATCTTCTACACTTATGTATCTACCCACTATCTATGGAACAATCCTGTTGTTTAGTGAGTGTATAATTTTATTAAAAGCACCTTAACACCCAAGGCCGATTCTTTATTATCCAGTGATCTCTATGCGGTCAGCAACTACTTGCTACTTCCTTAATACCAACAGATTGGACCAAACTGGGATTTGATGATTTTTGCAGTGGACTCTTTGCAAAGGCGAAAGTCTTACTTACTTTACAGTAGGAAAATCTGGATGAGGATCCCTTTGTTCTGGTACCGCGAAAATTCTAGCATTGATTTTGTCGCAAACTTGCTGAACATATTTGTAACCGACACCATGCAATGCGGTATACGTGAACAGCATGTTAACTTTTTTATTCAGTTCTTTACTTTCGGGCAATATCGCCTGATCGATGTAATTTAGGTAACGGTAAATAATCTCACACGAAGGATTCTTACGCAACGGATTATCAGCTAAGATACCAGTGTTCCATGAACTCTCTAGAGGTTCCAAATTTTCAAGTATAGAATTTTGGATATCTTCATCAACGGGTGTGTTAATTTGAGCTCCATTTGGACCGTATACCTAGATCAATTTAATTAAAAATTGAATTACTGAGTATCTCTGGATATCTCTCTGGCAACAAGTTTACTATAATAATTGTTTTTTATTATTAATGGATATCTCAAATAACTTGAATCCACTTGCAATATAAGAGGACACAAAATCATTAAGCTCATGCTAAGGAGACCGAATCACACTCAAGGCTGTTGAGGTATTACATTGTCCTAGGCTTCATCTGTCTGTATCTGTAACGTGTGGAGGGCGGGTTACCCCACGGCACTTAGGCCTCATTAGACCCATTGTGCATCCTCCTAAGATAATAGGCACCTCCTAGGTCGTGAGCCAGCCTACAGATTTAATATAGTTGACAACGTCGCCAAGATGTGCTTCTCTTATATCGGCCGGTGTTAGTCGATATTCGCCAAACACAAATATTCTAATAAATGAGAGCGTCCAGCAATGGTAAAGGATATGTTTAATGGTCTCATCTTCTTGATCGACCCTCTGCAGAGTGCGGTTTCTGACAGCCCCAGTATATGGAGATGCTTTCGTACTTGGCAATGACCAGTCAGAATGCCTGTGACTAGGCGCAGATTCTGTCTAGTCATAGTCAAGTATTTGTTTGCTGCAGTGTTGTCAGGATAAGTTAAGAGCTCCCTGGCAACTCTGCAGTTTCTTGTTTCATCCCATCTTTCCTTGAATTTCACAAGGGAATGTTCTTTGATTAGGTTTGTCACTATCGATTTTGTCAGGCCAGGGCGGCTGATGAGGGTATCGAGGACCATATTCCACAGTAGAGGTGATAGCACCCCTCCCTGTGGACATCCCCTCGCAATCAAGCCTCTCCATATATCTACCATTCTGTGATTCTGCTTGCTAAAATGCCTACATGTGATAGTAGTAGTAGTAATACTCATATAATCTGTATGAAAGAGAAAGAAATTTATAATACGGTAGTTTAGAATGTGGCGACATACCCTTTTTGGCATAGAACTAAGAAGAACACCACAGGAACAATTGGTAGGGAAAATAGTGAAACCAAAGACAGAAAACGATTCAAATATAATACCTGAATACAGTTAAAGCAGGGGAATACAGTAGATCAAACCCAGCTAGCACATAACGTTACCAAGCCTTTCGGCGATGTTGCATTAAGGGAACGTAATAACATTACTGTACAACGTAAATGCAACGTTCATGAGAAGTTGTTGAGGGAAATCAAAACCTCGCAAAACTTCTATTTGTTATTTACCTAGTTAACCTACCGTAAACATTACAAATCTGAATTCAGAACGTTTAGTTATATGTCACTTGTCAGTTTTTCTTGTCAATTGTCTTTTTTAATGGTTTATTTTTCGACATCCAGAATTTATTTTATAAATAATTATTATCTATACATTCGAATAGATTTGGTAAGGGTCCTCTATAAAATAGATAACTATTTTCTAAACCATTGTCTTTGTTTCAGATTACAATGCCTGATGTAAATTTATTATTTCATTCATTAAGAGTATCTTTAGCAGTCGATGCCGATGACACCAAATAAAAAAAAAACTACAATAAAAACAAAGAATTGCAGATCAATCGTTGTAAACCAGAAGATAAACATTTAACCGAATGTCCGGCAACATTTTACACCAAATACTTATAAAAGGTAATTATACTTTATCGAACTAAAAATACATTTTAAAAATATTATTTTTTAGGTTTCCTTCGACATTCTAGGAATTTTAGAAGCAAAAGTAAATACTACAGAAGTGTAAAGAAGAATATAACACCTGAAGTTTTATAAAAAGTGAATCTATAGGTACATGATATGTCAGGTATATCAGAATTCAAGCAGTTCATTCTCTTCAACAGGCTAGATTGCCTGGAAATGCAACCATCAGTTCAAGTGAAAACCCAGCAGAAAAGTTGAAAGAAATCATAGATGATACTCTCGAGTATAATAGAATATCTTGCTAAAAAACACCAGTTGTTTTTTATAAAATCTACATATCGATGGATCAAATACTGCCACAACTAAAATACTATTATTTCGAGAAATTTCATTTTGAAATTTTGTAAGTCTATATTATCATTATTTTGTTTTTGACATACTCTTTATATTTTATTTAAAAGCTTCGATATTTTGCTGTTAAATAAAATGCTTAAGATTATAAAAGTGAGTTGTTGCATAGTTGTAAAAAATTTGGGTGTTTTTGAAGAAAATAACTCGAATTGAGGCAGTTTTAGACACAGTTTGTGGCTACATTTTAAATGATTTATCTTTAAGGATATTTTTGTTTGTGGTGGTATTTAAAGTAAAACCATAATGATATTTTGCATCCATTAAACCAAAAATGTAATTGCTTTGTTTTTTGACTTGTGGCGGTTTTTGATTGACCCATCGATATATCTACTTTGGAAATAAAGCATAAAATTTGTAAAATTCAAACAAATTTCAATACACTAACATTGGTTGTTTTATTTAAAACAACAAAGTAAGGCATATTTTTTAATTTCTATATAATTTCCTTTAATTAATAATAGGTAAACAAGTTATCAATTTCTTTTTTATTCAATGTATTGAGAAGTAAAATCTTTTTATATAAAAATATAATTTATGCTCTTCTAATAAATTGTCATATTTAGGTTACATTATAGCACTTTATAAATATCTATGCAAAAAAAGTTAAAAGGCTTGATTTAAAAAAGATATATCTCTGCGTCTTAGGTAAGAAATCAGCGAACTTAGCTATCCTCTAGTAATCTAATATAATAATATGTACCTAGTCATTGTTGTATTTGTTTATTATTTTTCACCAATCTAGCTTTATCATTGTTCACCATTTAAGGTTTTAGTGAACCTTTGCAATATTGGTACCTTATTATACTATTTAGCGCTAATTTTGTCCAATCGTTCAGTGCTTTCTAGGTAGCTTCTTCTATCCCACATGTGTACTTGTGTTTGTGATATAAGGTGTGTTCTTTTATTCAATAATTGTTCCATCAGTGATTGATGTAATTTATCTATTCTGCAGTCGTTTTATATTTGAACTCTTATATTTTAGGTTAACTTAAATGATTGATTATCCTCACCATTCGTCTATCACATATCCATCGGCTTTTAAAGCCGATGGATGCCTTGGCTCATTGGTGAACTCACCGCTGGAAAAAAGAATGATTGACACATACAATCGTCTTTCCATCACTTAATTTACGAACGGTTTGCTGCAAGCGCTGGATACAGCACTGAATAAAAGAACACGCCTACACATACCTCTACTTTTGTGCTATTGGTACTTGATTTCAAGAACATTTTAATAATAAATTTATATAAATATTTTGTTTTATTTGAAATTTTCATGTCTCGATTGAGATTTTACTATAGCCTCAATTTCAGCCTCTCTGTATTACATTACACAATGTGTGTCCACGGATGGACTTAATTATACTTGTAAAAATATTTATTTTAAATTAAAGAAAAAGTTATTTTTCATAATTTCTCAATGTGAATCGAATTTATTTAACAAGCAAGAAATTATGAAGAATTACTTTTTTAATTTAAAATAAATATTTTCCCAAGTATAGTTAAGCCCATCCGTGGACACACTGTATAATGCTGTAGATCTAATTCACATTATAACATCAATAGAACGTTTCAGAGCAACTTTCGGGGTAAGTACCGTAAAAGTGCTAGAGTGATGTTTTTCGAACTTCACTTTGTAACTTCTGTGAGATGTGCTATAAAAGTCTTGCCGTTGCGGACATTCGGTAGTTGCAGGGAGATAAGAGTTACATTTACAGTACATTGCATGCGAGCTTAAAGAGCCTAAAATTGCAGCTTATTAACGTAGATGGGATGTTTTTGTGCTAGCTGGGAAGAGACTATATCTAACCCTGCCTGCATATAACTAACACAAATAAATACCCATTATTGTAGACTAACTCTATATGAAAAATGTATATAAATAAGCGTGCTAATATATAGTCTTACTTTGTAACCGTTGTCTTCTTTTGGATTATGCGATGCTGTTACCATAACACCACTAACACAACCAAATTGCATAACAGTAAAAGGAACAAAGGGTGTAGGTACCATGTCCTCAAACAAAAGTACTGGGTACCCAGCAGATATAAATATTGTTGCTGTTAATTCTGCCCACCTAAAAAATTTATGAAAATACTAGTTTGATTATTAAATTGGCATTAGCATTCCTTCGTAACGTTTCATTTTAATATTGTTATAATATAATAATTAGTTTTTCCTGCGTTTTAGTGACATCGCAGTTCGAAACCCGTGTAGATATTATCACTACTAATCATCATTGATGCAATATTGTAAATACAATAAATAAGGAACCCATCCCTACAAACACAACGTGAAAACAAATCCAAGGAACATTTCAAAATATTTTTCAATTTTCAATCAAAACTTTGTTTAAAATTATTTTCTTTACAATTTAAATTGTCTCTTTTCAAGTTTATCATCACTGTCCTAGTTACTATCTTCTAAACTTCTAAAAAGTCCTAGTACCTTTTACTATTATGCCTCCCATCATACCCAATGACGAGGCCAACATTCTTCAATAAAGTTCCGTTAGTTTTGATCAGATATTTCAGAAATCCCTGAGCAGTTTGAATGATAACCAGATCGTTCAGCTGAGCTGTACCTGTTCCCATTCTTCCTCTTAAACCGGCTGTTCCAAATGCCAGTCTTTTACCTAGTAAGTTTGATACCTCGTCATACTTTTTTTGTTCGAGTAAAGCTTTAAGCTCCGCTCTACTGTTTTCGTTTCTGTCCATTCTGAACCATTCTGCTATTAAGTTGTCTCGGTAAGAGCAACCTGTTTTTATGTCAGTCATCATGAAACTAAAAAAAAAACAAACAACAAAATTAAACAAAGAAGACCAAACCAAAAACAAAAATAACAAACAAAAAACAACCAAAAAAAGAAAACCAAAAAAACGAACAAAAAGAAAACAAACGAAAAAAACAAATTAATCTATGTTTGATAAAATATGATTTTAACAGCTAAAAATTATCAAAACTGTGGTTTTTAGAATTAGAATGAAATACATTGTAATGAAACAGATATTACAGTGAAACAAATTAAAGTAAAGCGTATTACACTGAAACAGATTACAATGAAATATAATACAATGAAAGAGATTACAGTGAAACAGATTACAATGAAGCAGATTACAATGAAATAGATTGCAATAAAACAGATTACAATGAAATAGATTACAATGAAATAGATTACAATGAAATAGATTACAATGAAACAGATTACAATGAAAGAGATTACAAAGAAACAAATTCAGTAAACACCTAAAATGCTATTCTGTCACAGAATTAGTGATACCATCGTAGCTCGAAAGTTGTTGACGCTCATGCGCAATACACGTTGAAAACTAAACAGGGCCGGATTCAAAATGTTTTAAACTGTACAAGTGATAAACATAATGCTCAATAAATGTTTTGCAGTTAAAAAATAGGAAATAATAGAATATGAGTGAGGCGAGGGTTCAATATTGGTTCTGTTCATTATTCACTGGTAAAAAATAGATATTATGTAATGATCCTGTTAATACAGCTAATATACATCAGCATAAGGTAATAACAAAAGGAGCCACAGGCTGTATCAGAGTGTATAAGCCATTACATGAGAGTTGCGTACTCTATTTTACCTACGACTTTATAAATAATCAAATATTGATATAATTATGTGTCTATCATACATGATACGAATTTCAGGTAAGTCCTGTTACCATGATTTATTCCTTTTTGTCAATTTACTTGTTGCATGACGAAAATATGAAAATTTGAATTAATCAGTGGTAATATTCGTAAAAGCTGAGTTACTGACTGCATATGGTATGTCTTAGAGTCTGACGGTAAAGATCTGCTGTCTATACTGAGCATGTCCACCAACAACTGCGTTTGTGCAAAAACCAATTTTTATATAAAATAGGAATCAAACATAAGGTAAATTATTTATGTATCGATCTTCTATGTGTTTTGTGAACATATTATAAAATAGATTAGGTATAATGAAAGGGGTCACAAAGAAATATACTATGATATTATTAAATATCAGACATGTTTTTTAGGTATTGTCGATATAACTAATTGTTCTACATCTTTATTTATGTAGTAGAATGTTTGAAACATTGTTCTTGAGCCGTTAAAAACCAAATTACCTCTCATAATTACTACCATAATTACTCATTTAGGTATAAATGTAGATGTAAACTTTTAATATTTTCTTTTGCTTTAACGATTTTATAAAAAAATCATTAATCAATAAGAACTATAGATTATAGGTACCTTTTTTGTTCAGAGTGAGGCCAATTTTTCAATGAAATTACATATTTCACTTTCAATTTAGTATTTAAAGAAATAATTTTTGTCCAAATACTTCAAATTTCTTTTTGGTTGGGGTTAAACTTTGACACTGTCATTTCTTATCTTTATTTATTTTTGAGGCATTAGCTGTCAGGGTTATTAGACATTGCGTGTTCTGTGTCGCTTTGTCACTGTTTCACACAATGAGGTTGAATCACATACTTTGATTTTCTTTTACTATACGGAGAATGGTCGCACTGCGCAGCTTTCTGAGTGTCTTTTGAAAGGAGATAGAAAACTCCGCCATTTTGATCCCTTATTACGTGTTGCCTACATCTTGGCGCAATATTTTTAATAGGTGCGTTTTAATCATCCGCTTCTGCTTCGGAATTGTCAGTTTTCTTGTTTTAATCTGACAGGTTAAAACAACTAAACCGACAATTCCGGAAGCAGAAGCGGATGATTAAAACGCACCTGATATTTTGCTTGCTGCTGTCAGTGTCAGTAAATATTATTTTTGAAGTCACAGTTTATTGCTAAAGAATCAGTTAGCTCACTCAGACCAGTTGAAAGTTCCAAAATAACATCCACTCCAGGGATACAAATTCAGGATACGCAGAAGACTGCTGTTTTATTATAGGCGGTTGTCATATATTGTATTATCCGAGTTGCACAGTGTATAAACTGAAACATTGAGATCCAAAGTGCCGACGCAGAGTGAGCGATCTGATTCTTTAGCTGTAAACTGTGTCACAGGGTTCAAAATGGCCACGCCCTATGTTGGGCGTGTCGGACCTCTCTCTTGCCTCGTATAGTTGCCTCAAAGTATGTGGGTTGAATCACATACTTTGATTTGACACAGTTTACAGCTAAAGACCCCTTAAAAGTTTTTCCATTTTCTTTACTTTTTGCTCACTGTTTTGACACACAAACCAGAAACAAGAATTACAAAAAAAAGAGAGGTTGTTTTTTACTCTGTTTTATTTGATTTGATTCAATGCTCTATTGTGACGTCATCACTTCTCGGTCTCCTCGACGCTCGCTCGATCGAGTTTCAAATCAAACGCCCCTTTAGTGGTCATGTCGTAGTTGTCAAAGAACTGTCAGAACTTTGTTCAAATTTAAATATTTCGACGTTATTTCTATCTTAATAAGTGTTTTTTTTTTATTAATTTGTATAAAAATCATGACTAAGTGTGCCAAAATTAATTGTAAAAACTCTTCAGTGAAAGAGCGTAAGAAAATATCTAATTTAAGTTTTCATAAGTATAAGGAGTGTACTTAGAATTTTTTTTTAGAATGCTTAAATTATTTTTATTATAGGTTTCCAAAAGACCCACAATATCTCAAAATTTGGTCTAAATTTGTGGGAAAAGACCAATTTGAGCCTAAACCGAATAGCATGTTGTGCTCTATTCACTTCAAGGAAGAATTTTTTGATAAGAGTTTAGGGTCAGATTGAAGAAGAATGCTGTTCCGACAATAAATGAATATTTAGTTAGTATACACTTTATTTACAATAAAACTTAAATAACTAACTTAATAAAGAACATTGGCTTGACTAACTTTATAATAAAGACAAATAACTATATTAAAACTTAGATAACTATAATAAAACTTAAATAACTAACTTTATAATTAAACTTAAAAACCAACTATAATTAAACTTAAAAACCAACTTATAATTAAACACAATAAATATAATTTATATTTTTCAAGTATGTACAATACAGGTGTATCAGAAATTAAAGCAAAAAGACAGCTTATAACAAAGGTTTAAATTTAGTAATGTCAAGTCATCCTTGCACCCTAAAAAAGTACCAATGAAGAAATTATTCCTATTGTCAAATATTATCCACAGCCACAGGGTTTCTTTTTAAATGGCATGACATTCAAAATTTTGGTCAAAACAATTTTCATCATGCACTTTTCTTGGAAATTCACAATGCTTTATTAGGATTAAAAACACCAGTTTCTAGAAACTTTTTCACTGTAACACTAACATTACTGATCAGAAAAAGTGGTTAAAGTTTTCTTTTTGTAATCACAAATCTGTGAGATTGTTGTTTATTATACATAGGTACCAATTATAGAAATCTTTAGTAAGTACTTGCTTGCAATTTTAGTAATATATGTACCTACCCTATATAATTAATTATTTCAAACATAAATAAAACCAACAACTATTATCTGAGTCTTTTTAGTTCCGATTGGTTTTGACAGAGTAGTTTTGATCATGGTTTTCTTCCATCTACTTTTAACCATAAAGTCATATCTAGCTGAATTTTTGGTCTTTTTAAACTTTTGACTGTAGCGGGTCATATTTTTAATGTATGTCATCTGCAGCAGAAAGACCTACATGTTTTACATTTAAAAGTAATTAATTGTCCTTTCTACAAACTCGGCTGTATTTTTACTGAAATATATTTATTCACAATTCACGTAGTGGTTTGTTTTTTGGTTTGGTAATTTGAGGTTTGTTCCAACATAAACCAAATCAGTTTGCGTACTGTCGGGATTCTGCGCAGACTATAATTTGTGTTCCAACAAACCTTAGACTCGAAACTGTATAAAAACATAGTGTTCCAACACAACTAAAACTAATCACAAACCGATTTGTGTACTGTCAAATCAGTTCCTGAATAGGAACGAATTGTCAAGACATGCGCAAAGATGCAATAAACTGAACATTTCGTGATTGTAATTATATTATTTGTATCTATTGTCTCTGACAGTTCTGATTTGTATTTGTTAATCGATTTTAGTCTTCATAGTTTTTGTTCATGATCATTTATTTTATTTTGTGGTTTAATATTGTAATAATGCGTCTGTTGAATTTAAAAAATGTGTTCCAATATAATCGAGTTCCGAGTTGAGTCCCAATCCCCGACAAGTACTTGACAAGTTGTCAATTACTAGTCATGGACAGATTGTCAACAATAAGTTTTGGACTGGTTTATGTATTGTTCCAAGATCGTTGTTGGAACAAACCTTTGATGTCATAATTCTCCTCATTGTCAGATTTTGACATTGGCAGCTTTGATCAAGACAAGAGAGTCCTTGAACGAAAAATCGTAGTTCGGGTTTTAGTTTTAAAGCACAAAGAGATTAACAAATCTGATGCACAGTGTTATTCGAACGTTGATTTTCGATCACACAGGTCATATATCGGACGGTTTCGGCGAAGACAGAACAATATAATAATATTAATCTCTTTTATGGTCTTGGCTTGGTCGGAAAACAGTTAATAAATAATAGTAAATAGTGTAGAAGTCATAATTTCGCAATGTCATCAAATTAATTTCGAATCGATCATGTTGAAACAAATCTTAGGTAAGTAAGGACTGATTCCACCGTTGTGTTAAACGAAGTTTAAAATGACATTTTTACATTAACAAAGTCATTTTAATCTCCGTTTAACACAACAGTGGAATCGGCCCTAAGTCATTTAAAAGTTGCAATTCTGCATACGGACTTTAATTATATTTGAATACGACCCTGCTTAGTCAACCATTTAAGCCACGCCCAGTGGGGTCATTTTTAATAAAACGTATCATATGCAAAACAATTGCCTCATGGCATCTCCATTATTATTATACCTCCATGGTTTCACAGCACCACTTTATGAACAACCTAGAGATCTTATTGACCGACTTCAAAAAAGGAAGAGGTTCTCAATTCGTCGGAATATATTTTTTTAATCTATGTTCAGCGATAATTCATTAACACATTATTCGATATCAAACACCACTTTCAAAATTTCAGCGAAAATCAAAGAAAGTGTTTTTTGTAGACTATGATGGTAATAGCCACTAACTATAGATTATATGATCCTAGTAACAGAAAAGTTACAATCTCTAGAGATGTTGTCTTTCAAGAAAATTCAGATAATTCAGAGTCTACCGACAAAAATTATGTAGTTATACAGAGAAAGGATAAAGCAAAGTCAGAAGAAAGTCAACAAAATCAAGGAAATGACCAAGAAGATGGTCATGTTCAAGAAATACAAGATGAAAATCCGAGTTGTAGCAGGAGAAGTCTCAGAGATCGTAGTAATCTAAAAACTCCTGATCGTTTTGGATTTGAAGTAGCATAGCAGTCACTGGAGAACCTAAGTCGTATGAAGAAGCTGTTAACTGTGATAATAAGGTTTTCTGGATACAGGCTATGCAGGAAGAAATACATTCTTTAGAGAAGAATAATACCTGGCAGCTAGAACCACTTCCACTGTATAGGTTGTAAATGGGTATATAAAGTTAAGTACAAAGCAGATGGCACGATTAGCCGATACAAAGCAAGGTTAGTGGCAAAAGGGAATATTCAACAGTTTGGAGTTGACTAATAACATGAATTAAGTCGCGTGGGATACAGGTATTGTTAAAGACTTCGGCTCGAAGGACCAAAAAATGTAGCGAAACTTTTGTTATGCAGCCAAGAAGGCTGATTCAAATAAAATATATAAACGTATTTGACACCTTACCTTAATCGTAAAGAAAATTAAATTCATTCTCGAACAATTCGAAAACATTATTTATTATAAAAACAAAAACTTTTATTACTTGTTTAATTTATCGCAGTAATTTTAACATCAATTAATAAATATAAAGTATAAAACTTAATAAAAATAAAAAACATTTTATATTCTACTATATTTTAATCAGTAGCTTGAGGTTTCAGGTTATTTTTCTTGGGCTCGAACAATTCTTCACAGATACCATGAACCATTTCTTCGATTGTTTTGGTCAAACCGCCTTTATCCCTAGAAAAATTAATTTTTCAATATACAAACAATTTTATTTATTCTAGACTATTGTTTCCTAAGATGTCGTCAGTTTCAAAAGTATAATTATATCTTAAACCCATCATACTTCAGAAAGCATTCACTATTTTTATTTGTTTGGCTTTCACTTAAAATTAATTCAGCGTTACTTATTTTTAGAAAGTTACAGTGGCGACTCGTAAGGTAGTGCCACTGTGCCATGGCACTACCTTATTTTTGATATATTTTTTATTTTTAAAACGTCTTATCATATTTTTATGCATTTCTTTTTATATTCAAAAATTATTTGAAATGTGGCAACCTCGCGCGGCATAAATTTCTAAGCTCTTGCCGCGTACCGGAGCCATTTCTCAGCTGACACTAGGGGAGAGAGATGGGGACATTTTACATGTATTTAAACTGTTCAGCTGTTTAGATAATAGCGGTTTCTCGATAATGTCGATTGTTAACTGAATTAACCAAATTTCTTTACGCGCTTTTAAGTTTTTCGTTACGTTACAAAGTATTAGTGACGTTAATGTGTGTCTTTTTGTTTTCGATAAACTTGTTTAAATATCTTATTTCCTAGTTTTTAATTTATTGTGGAAATAAATAAAATTGGCGTCTTAAAAAACTCTTTTAGTGGTTTTTCGCAAGAAGAAAAACTACAAATTAAAGAATTAGGCCGGCCAATTCCCGATTTAAAAATTGAAAAACAAAGTGGAAGTGGGCAAAAATCTCGGTGTCATGATGAAAAGGCACAGACGATCTTGTCCATATATGGGATAAAATGAAATCCCATGAAAAATCTAAAGTGCACATAAATAATGTTTTTAGCTTTTCCATGCTTGGTAAGTTAAATATAAAAACCCAGTTAAATTCGGCTCATCGTGATGCTCTAATTAAACATAATCAACGAGTGGATAAGAATTAATATGTTTTAAATCAAATTATAAATTGTATAAGGTTTTGTGGAGCTTTAAGGGGTCACGATGAGAAAGATAATTCTGAAAATAGAGGCATATTTAAGGTAGTTCATTCGTAGAACCAGTTTTTTAAACGACTTTTAGTTAAAAATTTGGGCATGGTACCCCAAAAAATGTTTTACCCCTGGTAGGAGGCCTCCGGCGGGATTTTCACATTTGTTAAAAATCTTGCACTACCATCTTGTATTATAATGAGCCGCCACTGGAAAGTTATACTAATTAATTTGACCTAGAAGCAGATCCACGAAAAAATCTCAAAAAACGACCAAAATCGACGTAAAAGCCATACCCTCTTTGTTAAATTTCCTCCCCACCCCAGAATATTATGAAGTTTCGTATATACCTTTAATATTGGTCGAAAATAACGAAAAACATAATTTAAAAATTAAAACTAATTTTTTAACCAATTTTTTTTACCTAATTGTTTTACCTAAATTTGTTTTATTATTTCTTTTAACTCTTTTTGAACTAATTATTTAACTATTTTTTTAATTATTTAACTATTTCTTTAACTTATTTATTAAATTCATTTTTAAACTAAACTAATTTTTAAACCAATTTTTGAACTAATTTTTAAACTAATTTTTAAAATAATTTTTCAACTAATTTTTAAACTAATTTTTAAACTAATTTTTTAACTAATTTTTTAACTATTTTTTAAAACTAATTGATTCAGTACCTCACATCTATAAATGCAGAGCATAAAACTAAAAACAACTTACTTTCCTGGTGCGGCACACATTTCAGTATAATACTTTATCTTAGGTTCTGTTCCGCTGGTTCTCAATGTACAAACGAATCCATTTTCAAAATTAAACGTTACCATTTCACTACTAGATGATACTGGTAAAACAGCCTTTTTATCTGATTGGTTGTCATCGTAACCTGTGGTCAAATCTCTCACGTTTATTATTTTGTATTTGCCATTTAAAATTGATTCAGGATACTGAAATTAAAAAATAATATCATCGGTAAATCATCTAATAACTATGGTAGAAATTTAAATTAACTTTAAATAAAAGAAAAGAAAAAAGAAGAAAAAAAGAAAAAAAAAGAAAATGTTATTATAAACCCATTTTATTCATAAGTAATGCTTCCCTTTTCCTTATATTAAGTTCAAGTCTAGTTATTGACGATCTAAGATAAATGTAATGTCAAATGTCAGATTTCAAAAGAGACGAAGATGGTTGTCCTCTGTCTCTGATGTAGATGATAAAGAATAGTTGTCTCTAGTATTAATAATAATTAGAACGCTGTTTGCATATTTATTGTCTTTATTAAATAAACGTTATATAAGTGATCTACTGCGTATTAATATATTGAACAACAATTACAACAGGTTATGGACCCAGAAATTCAAGATTAAAAAGTGATAAAAAGTTATTCAAAAGCCGTTAAGAAAAGTAAAAGAAAATGGCGTCAGAGAAACCAAAAAATAATTTTAATATAGAATTACTTAACTCAAACAATTACCATACATGGAAATTCAGAATGAATGTTCTATTTGAAGAAAAAAATGTATTACAAAGTATTAAATGCGAATATAAAGAAGAAAACTATGAAAATGAGGCAAGGAAGAAAGAAGCAAAGAGTAATGATAACAAATGTAAATCGTTCATTGTGCCAATGTTTGGATGATGGTCAAATCGATTTAATTCGAGATAAAAATACAGCTTTTAGCATGTGGAGTAGCTTAGAAGAAAGGTATGAAAAGAAGGGCATTCCGGGGCAGATGATTCTAAGAAAAAAATTAATGACCATGAAACTGCAAAAGCCAAATGAATTAGAGCATTTCTTGTCCGAATTCGAAGAAATTGTTAGACAACTCAAAGTAACATGAGCTGAAATTAAAAATGAAGATTTAGTATGTACATTACTTCTTGCTATGCCTCCAGCTTTTGAAACTGTAATTGCAATATTAGAAAACATGAATAGTAAGGACTTAACATTTGAAATCGCGAAAACAAAATTAAGAAGTGAGATTGAAAGAAGAAAAGCAGTAAATAATGACAGCAATGAAGTTAAAGATAATATTAAGTCAGCAGCCTTTACAGTAGCCAATAGAGAAGGAAATTGTTTTATATTTGGAGGAAGAGGACACTACAAAAGAGAATGTAGGAGCAGAAATGTGTATAGAGGTGGTTTTCGAGGTCATAGTAGAGGAACACTTGGAAACAATAGAGGTTTTATTGGAAATAAACAATTACAACATAAAATATAAGAAAAGAAAATGAAAAAGAAATAAAAAAGAAAAAAACGAAAGAAAAAAGAAAAAGTAAAGAAAAAGAACAAAAAAGAAAGAAAAAAGAAAAAACTTTAAAAGAAAAAACTAAAAATTAAAAAAAAACTAAAGAAGCTCACAATGTTTTCTCCACGAATATTCCTTATCCTCTCAAAAATCCTCTTAATAACCAACGGTTCGTGGCAAATATAATACGAATTCAAAGTCACGTGATATCCATATTTCGTATAAATTTCTTCCAGTTGTTCATCCATTGTTTTACCATTATTGTAAACGAAAGAAGCCATAGTGACCATTTGCGCCAAGGCAGATATTCCGTCTTTGTCTAATACTTGGGTCGAACACATGAATCCAATGGCTTCTTCGAAACTGAAAATCACTTTGTTTCCGTTTTTTTCTAGTTCCAATGCTTTGTTTGCTAAAAATATATATAAACCGTTAATATATAATCGGATATTAAGTGGCTTTATCTCAAAGTATTTATCCAATCTATAAGAACTATAGGCCAATATCCATACTCAAAAACCTCTAGGGCTTAGAAAGTATACGTACAAAAAGGTAAAAATCAGAATTTTCCTCTAAAAAGAAACAACCATGTTTACCTCTTTATTTTAAAGCAGGATTCCTCAAAGATCAACAATCACAAATCTAATAACAATCACACAGTATTTATCAGAGTATTTAGATAAACAAGGACAAGAAGACGTGATCTATACAAACTTCTCAAAGGTCTTTGATAAAATTGAATAAATTGCTAGAATTTGGATTTAACTCTGATGTCGTACAGTTTCTTAATTATTATTTAAAAGTAATAGAAGTCAATTTGTTTTTAGAATGGCTACATTTCTAGCAAAGGAGTTCTGCTTGTCTAAACCTCTAATATGTAAAAAATGTTTCTTTAATAAAAAAAGTAGCTCCAATTGTGATGCCTTGCCAAGAAAAAAAATATAAATGCAAAATATTATAAATTAAGCAATAACTCTTTATGCCTATATATAACTGTATATATTTCAGGTCGTACCAATCCATTTGAATCCTGTAAGAGTGTCTATATAGTTGAATCCTTCTATTTTACTCATAGACTTGCATATCATTGAACTGACAGTGCTGGAAATCATGTAGACTTTATTGAGAGGTATATCTGGATGATTTTGCTTGAAAGAATGTAACATCCACCAAGCAAATAATGCTCCAAGTTCATTTCCTGTGAATATTTTCCATTTATTGGTCCTAAAATATAAAAAATTAATGTATTTATAGTAGATTGGGTACCCTTGATTTCAAAAACACTTTTATTTTAACTATATAGACATATTTGGCATCGTCAGTGTCAAAAAAATCAACTGAGTACTCAAGGATTTGAGACAAGACTGCAAATTATAATAATTCATAGAATAGAAGAAATTAGCAAATAAAAGTTTTAAAATATCAACTGTTTTAATTATAATTAATGGCGTTAAGATTTATAAACAACACAAGCTTTCTTCAAGTGGTTTAAAAATGGATTTTAATAAACAAAACTTACTCTGGATGTTTTTCTGCCATTGCAAATCGATCTGCATCAGGATCATTTGCTATTATTAAATTACAGTTATTTTTATCTGCACATTTGAAAGACAATTCCAAACTGCTTTTCCCTTCTTCTGGGTTTGGAAATCTAAAAACCATAAACTAAGTAATCAATTAATTCATTTTTATAAAAAAATGGACAATACTTTTACGTTTAAAATGAATTCTAAAGATAGACAATATAAACATCAATAACCTGTAATAATATAAAACCTTTCTATTTTTCTTATACTATGACTATGTCATTTATTAGTCAAAGTGTAAACTAAATTAAATATTAACACTTTCACTGACAAATTTGGTGAATTTATATATTTTACTGTAATAAAAACTGTTTAAATTTCAGACTAGAGTCTTATATTCAAAGTGTCCAGGAGGTCCTGTAGCTCAATTAACTTTAGTTAGCCTTTAGTGTCATTCTCGCAGATACGTTATTCCTGTCGGCCGATAATACATTAGCATATTGTCAAACGATTCACTTAACTCGTTAAACAAATGTTATTTTCAAGCTTTCATTAAGTGAATAGTTTCGGGGTCGACATTTTAACATAACAGAAAGTAAATTTCCGACAGTACAGGATAACAATTTTAAAAAACAAGTTTCAAACAATATAGAACACCAAAATCGCTTACACAACAGTAGGGAAATCTGGATGAGGATCTCTCTGTTCTGGAACAGGTAAAATTCTTGCGTTGACCAAATCGCAAACCTTCTGCACATATTTATAACCAACGCCGTGCATAGCACTGTAGGTGAACAAAACATTGACCTTTTTATTCAATTCTTTACTTTGCGGTGATATTTCGTCGTTTATATAATTTAAATAGCGGGAAATAATATCTTCCAATGGATTGGAGAGAAGAGGATTGTTTACTAGTATTGAAGTGTCCCACGAACTGTCGAGGGGTTTTAAATTTTCTAGAATCGATTTCTGGACATATTTGTCTACGGGTGAGCAAATTTGGGCTCCGTTTGGACCATATACCTAAAACATAATAATATAAATGTGAAGAGTAATGCAGAATTAATGTTTCTAAAGTAAACACCGGAAAAAATAACGTATATCATTGTATTTAGATATCCTAGTAGAACAACCTTATGGACGTTTCATTATAGGCAATTCTGCCGCGACATCTGTTAGAACTGTACAGAATTTCATCAAAATGGCTCGTGTGCTAGCGCTCCCTCGATCATTAAGTATAGAATCCTATATACATAAATGTTTCTTTATTTCTAAATTTAAGAATATTTTTAAAAACTAGAGTGTCAAATATATCCCTAAACTAGAAGAAGATAAATTTTTCTCATTGGTCTGCAGAATAGCCATATCTGAAATCTATCGACATCCTCAAAACGTAACATTTTTTTTTGATATTTTATCCAACTAAATAATAACTTATAATCCCACCTCAAGATATGCCACCATATTTAAGAATATTTTTAAAAAATAGAGTGTCAAATATGGACCTAAACTAGAAGAAGGTAAAATCTGTCTTACTCAACTCGAAAATACCCAAATTTGAAATCTATCAACATCGTCAAAACTATACAACTTTTTTGGTATTTTTTCCAAAAATTCACAACTTATACCCCCACCTCAAGATATGTCACCATATTTAAGAATATTTTTAAAAACTAGACTGTCAAATATGGACCTAAACTAGAAGAAGGTAAAATCTTTCTCTCGAAAATACCCAAATCTGAAATCATCGACATTGTTATATTCTCTAAAATGGTGATAAATCGTAAATAAATGTACATCAGAAATAATAAAACTCGTATTTCTCATTTTTATAACAATTATTCGGTTTATACTTATGGGTCCATCTATTAGTGCGTTTGTTATTCAGTTTGGACGCAACAGAGCTTGCTGCCATCTACTGATACTCTCCATTGTCCCTCAAGATAATTTGCATTGGAATTGTTCTACTAGGTTATCTAAATACAATGCGTATATCTATTCCCACACCAGTTGTGCAAATCACAGAGGTTTATAACTTTGCAACCATTTTATATAAAAATATAACATAGAAGTATATAGTAATCAATAAAACTTACTTTATATCCATTATCATCTTTCGGATTATGAGATGCGGTAACTACAATACCACTAGCGCAGCCATATTGCAATATTGTAAAAGGAACAAATGGTGTGGGTACTACATCGCCAAATAATATTACTGGATATCCAGCGTTGATAAAAATTGTTGCTGTGAGTTCAGCCCACCTAAAATTATAATGCAATTACAGTTTTTTCGAAACTGATATAATAACCAAAGAGAAAACAAATTAAAATATGTATATAAAAAAGGTGGGCCGGAAAAATGTGCTCCGCCAGGGTACCTTTTAAATATTTGCTATCAATTCCCGAAACATTAGTTTCCTATTCGCTCCGTGCGCGACAGCAGCGCCAATTTGTTTTGGTATTAAAGGAGTATTTCTGCCTATACTGACAAATACAATTTTTAATAGAATTCGTAAATAAAAAGTATATATGTTAGTTTTAATAAAAGTATATGGATTTATAAAACAATTAAAACATTAATTTATTATTATATATTTTTCACGCTTAAATTGAAGAAAATTATGTATAATCATTAAAAATCAATAATAAAATATAGGCAGGCAACAGTATTTACTGGAAAATGTATGAGAAGTTGCCTAAGTCTAATAAGTTGTCATTGAAGAAACCATTTATAATAGCGTGAAGTTAAAATGTATTAAAAGGATCGCTACTTATATTTTCATTTTTGTTCTAAAGAAAACATAGAATGAATGATTAAAACTGGTTTCCGATCAGTTAGTCACAAAATTGCATACCAGCCAAATATTATAATCAACGGCAGAAATCTTGAAATCTATTCCTTGCTGAATGAACATTTAAGAATAAAGGGATATTAAAGAACATCGTAAAATGATAATTTATTGTTTATTTAAAAACTTTCTAGTTTCTGATGTCTACTATTTCCAGCATTACTGTTATTATCACAAAAATAAAGGTAATTTTTCTTCTTATTGTACACCTATCCATTTATTTCTTTGATTTAATTTCCACTTTGTTAGTGAAATTTGTTATATAAGTTTCTCTGTTTTTTTTTTGCTAGTATTTGTACAATTTTCAACACAGCAACTCCGGTTGCTTATTGTGTTGTTTTTACCTACTTTTTTGAAAAAAAGTAAAATGTATACGTGTATTTGATATGCCAAAATTACAAAATATCCCCCTAAAATGCACGAATTATCCGCAGCTAGCGCTAGTATCGCTTTTGCTTCCCTTTCCATGACTTCGCACGGAGCGAATATGTAAATTTAACACATGTGTTGAGTTTATTAGTTCAACAACTATAGATAAGATTAATATTTACCTTTTGCTATTATGCCGGTGATCATACCCAACAACAATACCATTCTTCTTCAACAAATTTTCATCAGTTCGAACTAAATATTTCAAAAATCCCTGCGCCGTTTGAATGATGACCAAATCGTTCATATTCGCATAACCGACGGCCATCTTCCCTCGCAAACCGGCAGTTCCGAACGATATTCTGTTGCAAAGAATTTTTTCGACTTCGTCGAATTTTTTTTGGGCCAATAGCGCTTGTAGCGCCGCCGAAGTTTTTTCATTTCTGTCCCATTTGAGCCATTCTGCCACCTTGGAGTCTAAGTCGGCCATCTTAATAAAGCAGTTGTGGGTTTTTGCCTGGAAAAAATATAATAAAATGAATTTTAAATAATCATATCAAGAAGTTTTGATAAGAGGCTCAAAGTGATCATAGAGAGAAAAATCTAATAAAGGACCGAACAGGATTAATGCTTCAGAAGGTGAAGTTAGTGAATATTTTTAATTTTAGAAATGTGAGCTTACTCAAGTTAATGAATAGAGTACCACACTTTATTTTCACACTGTATAAATGTTTTTAAGTTCTGCTCAGATTTATTTTCTAACTTTTTTACCCTTGAAACTTGAAATACTACACAATTTAAATAATATTAAAATAAATTATATAGAAATTGATGGTTCTTATCTTGTCAAGACCACGAAAAACCTTATAGCGTTAAAGAAACGAGAAACCATAAGCGCCGACTACGGGGGTGGGCCCTTCCCTGGATCCCTTCATTATTTAATATAGTATGCCATGTAAAAATAATAGAAAAATAGAAATATTTTATTATCAGTTTACATAGTCGTCAGTAAACATAAATGGTAAAATACACCACATTTTACATACATTAACATACAGCATACTCGTATAAAATTTAAAATAAAATAGGATTTTAAAAGATCATGATTGGTAATAGTAATAAAAAATATATAAAAAAATTCAATATTAAAAATATTAGGTGACATATTTCACTCTTACAAAATTATCGTTAGTGTTATATAGACACATGTCCAGTAATATCTTTTTAATTTGATGTTTAAACCTTTTTCCTGGTAGATTACGGATGTGGGACGGAAGTGCATTATAGAATGAAATGCCTATTGTTCGGGACTTGTTTATTCTAGTTCTCGTTTGGATTAGCTGATTTTTCCCTCTGGTATCGTATGTATTTTGTTAAAAAGAAATTATCTATTTTAGGATTTATAAATATTTAGGGAGCCTCAGTAATTTTAAAATATGTTCATTACTTACCGCCACAACTTTAACAATACTTATACAATTAATTATTAAATATTTTTAATGTTATTTGTATGAATTCTCTTAACAAACTATTGCATATTGTACATAAATTTTCTTTGAACAATCAATTCAACTGAGTAACTTGTTTCGCAAATCATAAATCAAACGTTATTTATTGACGAAGGCATTTATATGATAAGTTTAACAAGAGGAGATAATATTATTTAAAAAATTGCAGGATCTAATAACAAATAACACTTAGCAACATATTTTCATAATGTTTCAAGTAGTTATGTAGTAATGTTTATGTTAACAATTTATGAAGGGTGATTTTGTAAGCAGTGCAGATATTTAATGATTGTTTTGAATAATAAATTATTTTTATTTATAAATTTGCTTTGAAATATGACATAATAATTTATGTTTTTAAATTAGATAAAAATGTCGTGGATATTTTAGTTATCTCAAACAAAACATAACTTTAAATTACATTTAAGAAGACAAAATATATCGACATCTTTTGGCAAAATACCCAACTATGAGAAATACTGAGAATTCTGTAAAAAATAGTAAATTTTATTAATGATGTTTAAATTTATAAGTACTGACAAACCAGGAATAACCATTTACTTTTTAAGATAGATGGCATTAATACTCAAAACTTAAATAGTAGATTTCTACTATAAATTAATTTTATTTAGCATATTTTTTCTTAGTAGATTTCTGTCAATATTTATAGAAGATTTAGTAGTAATCTTAATTATTTATTCTGCTGCTGTACATCTAAAATCAAAACCCACGAGCCGCCAATGATAGACTGCCTAATTTCAATCAGTGACCCGGATTTTATTAAATTCACTTTTAAAATTATAAATAGTCCAAAATATGTACAAAAAATCAGTAGTATACAAAATATATCATCATTTTGCTTGATAATAAAGGATCTCGAACTTGAAATATATTGTTTGATAATGAATTTGATAATAAAGGAACTTGCACTTTTGACCATAAGATCATAGATTTAAAAATATATTTGATATATACAGTGAAACGTAATACAGATGTATTTTTTTAGTGATCTGGCTTTGGTTGCATCTGCTAATTAGCCAGTTTGAGTTTGATTTTTATTTTTCAGCATTTATGATAAAAATTGCATGATTGACCCACGTTGGGCGCCAAAAGTAATGGTAAGTTTTTCAGTGGTAAATAAAAAATAGTTACTTCAAAACTATTTTTATTATTACTAGAACATTTAAATTACTTAACTCTGACTCAAATTATTACGAAATTAGTAGTCTAGCTACATCTAGCAATATTTCTTATTAGTTTCAATTCTGAAGATTGAATAAATCTCTCCAATTCACTCTTAGACTTAGCTGCTTCTACCGCACAAACCACATGTTCTTACTTGTTTTCTAGGTCATAAAGATTTGTAAATAAATAAATTATAAAGGTTTGGGATAAGGTTTGTAACTTATCTTTAATAAATATTATATTTTTAAATAAATATAATTAGTTTACTTACATTAGGAACATTAAAAGCTCAACCCGGGCATTAAGAACCACACGAAATTGCCACTTCTAGAAATAATAAGGTAACAAGCTAAGAGGCAGGTGGTATTTGCATCTGAAAGATGCGCAATGGGTCTAGTGAGGTTTAAATGCTGTCCCAGCTAGCACATAACGTTGCCAAGCCTTTAGGCGATGTTGTTTTAAGAGAACGTAATAACATTACCATACATCGTAACTGCAACGTTCATGAGAAGTTGTTGAGGGAAATCAAAACCTCGCGAAATATCTATTTGTTACTTACGTATTTAACCTGCCTGTTATGATAACACAACGTAATAAAGTAATTTGCTAAAAAAGTATCCACGAGAAGTACTATGAACATGATCTTGTTTACGAACGTAGCCATTCGTTTATCATAAGTCAACAAAACATGAAAAAAATGTCACTTGTCATTTTTTCTTGTGGTATGTATTTGAGAATTTAAAGAAATTGTAATCTATTTATACGTTTGAATATGTTTGGTAAGTTCTTTTCTTCTTTTCAATAAAATGCAAACATATTTTCTAATTTATTGTCTGTTGTTTTAGATTGCAATATTTCAGTTTCCAACTACAATAAAAAATAAATCATTGTAAACGTGAAGATGCAATCAAATGACTGCTTATATTTTACACGATAATAGGGATCTTATTAATGCCTCAATACTATAGAAGTAACGATATTAAACAATGAAAGTATCGATATTTAGGCACTGATACTGAATTACCAATACTATCGCCATATCAATACTTAAAAGCAAGTATCGTATCACTATGTGTGTGGTCAGGGATAATAAGGTTTGTTCAAATATGCGTTCAACTTAAAAATTACATACAGCGCATGATTTGTACCGAAATAAACTTATACCAGTACCAGGTAGAGTACCACTAGAGAAAGAAAAGGTGTCAACAACTGTCAACTACAGAATATACTGATGCAACTCTTGTTTTAGTTAAGTAGCTTATTACCGTAGATGGGATGTTTTTGTGCTAGCTGGGGTGGGACAAACCACTCTTCTCCTCCTTACAGATACATAAAGCTTGGAATAATTTCGAGTTTTGTTATATCTGTAGAATATATGGTTCTACATTCGGGAACGAAGCAAATTTTCTTTACTTTTTCGCCATTGTTAATTCTTCTTCTCCTCACTAGTCTTCTTAGTATTCTTTAATGTCAATTCTAGTTCGTTAGATGAGATGATGGTAGGAAGTTAAAATGGGTTCAATTAAAATCTATACTCTGTTTTTAAACTAAGAGGAGCGATTTGAATTTAAGTTGACAATTCTGTAGCCTTCTGATTGGTCAGATTACACTCAGTTTCACACATTACTCTTTAGCTAATAATTGATATTGTTGACAGTTCTGATATTTTATAATTTGATATCTCATCCATTACTTAGTTTTTTACTTTATTTCGTAAATAATAGTTCTTCAGTAAGCAATTGTATTGAAAATCTACAATTATGGATCCTTCTACACTGAGTACTATTAAAGGTAGCAATTCCTGAAAAGCCTTACAAGAAAGGGAAGACACCTTATTATTTTACATGCTGATTCTGAAGGTTTTGTAGAAAATGCATTATTGGTTTTTGAAGGTAAAAAGATGGGAGATTACCATGAAGAGATGAATTCCGAAGTATTTTAGAAAAAAATAATTTTATTACTGATTTTTTAAAACTAAAAATTGATGAATTTCTAACCAAAATGATTAAAATGTAACTATTCAAGCAAATTTTATTTATTAGAATAGAATAAAACTATTTACAAAATTGTTATAACATTTAAAACACCATCTACTACTTTAGGGATAATCTTAATTTGGCACAATGAGTTAACATTACTTTCACAAAAAATATAAAAATACTTAAAATTAATACATAGGTATGTATGAATAGTTCACTCTAAAAAATATATGTTGACATGTAGTGTTATGAAAATGTTAGTTCCAGTTTTCAAAACCAATTCTGACTCATAGGCCTGTAAACTTTTGAATACCTTTATTTGCCCTCTAGCGCATTAACCATGGGTTAACACTAAATAAGCCATAATATCCACATTACTCATAGAAGAGATACCAGTTAATGTGTGATCCACTTGTAATTCACTGATTAACTTTGACTTTTTATACCTATAACAAATATATCCTTAAAAATGTGAACAGATCTTTATATTTTATACTAACCTGGCTACATCTGGATATTCTATTAACAATTTTCTTAAATATTTAATATCCATTTTAAAAAGATCATAGTTATTCTCAAAAAGTCGATTTCAAAAGCAAGAAAAAAGTATTTTTGACATCAATCAACAACTATATTGACTTTAATTTGACCGTGACATTTCGTTTTAGACACACATTTCAGATCACAATAATGTGAAATTTGCGACCGTTGTCTGGGACCAATTAAAAAATTACTTCTATGACATTTATTCGTTTCTTAACCGCTCATTGGCCGTTCACCGACTAAGGCCGACAAAGATAATTATTTCATAAATTTTGAACACGACTATATTTCGAAACTCGCTCTTAGTAACAAATCTAGTTACTTTTCCCTATGTAAATAAGTCTTTTCAATTCGCTCCTCCTATACTCTGTTTTTTAACTAGGAGGAGCGAATTGAAACGACGCATTTACACAGGGAAAAGTAACTAGATTCGTTACTAAGAGTGTGTTTTGAAATATAGTCTGGTTCAAAATCTATGAAATAGTTATTATTATCGGCCCTAGTCGGCGCCGTCCAATAAGGGGTTAAGAGCGAATAAATGTCATAGGAGTAGCAATTTTTATTGGTCCCAAACAACTGTAGTAAATTTCACTTTATTTTGATCTGAAACATGTCTAAAACGAATTGTCAAATGAAATTCAATATGGCCGTTGATTTGTTTACGTTATAGTTTGAGAAATATTTTTTCTTGCTTTTGAAATCGACTTTTTGAGAATATCTATTATCTTTTTGAAATAGAGATTGAATATTTAAGAAAATTGTTAACAGAATATCAAGATGCAGATTGGTATAAAATATAAAAATATGGTCTGTTTACATTTTCAAGGATATATTTGTTATATGTATAAACTTAATTAGCGGCTTGGACACCTATAACATACAATACTTTTTACTCTCAGTGAAAATCAACTGGACTTGGAGCATATATTATATGCTCGAAGCAACTGGATCACACAATGACTGGAATTTGTTCTATGAGTAACATAGATTTACTGTAGCTTATTTAGTGTTAACACATGGTTGATACGCTAAAGGGCAAATGAAGGCATTTAAAAGCTTATTGTCAGTCAGGATTTGTTTTGAAAACTAGAACAAACATTTTCATAACACTACAAACATGTCAACATTATATCATTACTGTTAAATATTTTATTTTGTAAATGATCAATTTCCTAATAAAGTTTACTTCAATATTTAGTTACAATTTAATCATTTTGGTAAGAAATTTATCAATTCTTAGTTTAAAAAATCAGTAATAAGGTTAGTTTTTTTTCTATAATACTTCTGAATTCATTTCTTATGGCAATCTTCCGTCTTTTTGGCTTCACAAATCAACAACGCCTTTTCTACAAAACCTTCTTCAGAACTAGCATGCAAAATAATAAGGCGTCTCCCCTTACTTGAATTGCTTTTGAGGAACTGCTACCCATATTCCGTGTAAAATGACACATAATTGTAGAAATTCAATACAATTAATTGCTTACTGATATTCTAAAAAGAACTGTTAACGAAAAAAATTAAAAAACTAGTAATAATGATGAGATATCAAAGGGATGAAAGCAATAATAAAACTAAAAATATAAAATGTCAAAACTATCCATAATTGTCAGTAATTGAATTAGCTGCGATGTTAATGCTAAAAAGTGATGTGTGAAACTGACTGCAATCTGATCAATTAGAAGTCTACAGAATTGCCAACTTAACTTCAAATCGCTCCTCCTAGCTTAAAAACAGAGTATAGTTTAAAAACCGAGTATAGTACACTCCATTTTTTAATACCCACTACGCACCTGATATAAATGTATTAACACCAATCTATAGTCTGAATCACAGAATTATTGAGCTTAATTTGTAACGAGTAGGTAGTAAAGATAACAAGGCGATAATAAATAACCAGTATTATTGACTTACGTAAAATATCGATGTCAAATTTGCACCAAATTGACAAACAACGTCATCCCGTACAGTTCACTATATACAGAATATTATATGTCAATATAATTTTTAAAAAAGAAGTATAAGCAAAATTCATGACAAATTCCAAGCGAAAAAGTTTTAATCAGTGACTGAATATTATAGAAATAATATTTGTTTTTCGGGGACTGATTCCACAATCCACAGTTGGCAGCGGTAAACCTTAACGAAAACTTTTTATCTACCTTTGATAACCATACGGGTAGCAGTAGTTGATTAAAATTTTGTACAAACAAGTCAATTCGTCGAAAAAGTGTGTCGTTGCAGTTTAACAACGAGGTTTCATGTTTAGGAACAATCAATTTATAACGTACAAATGAACAACTAAAGATTAAAAGTTTGTAGAAAGAAAAGGTAAGTTATTTTTTTATTAAAATACAAATCCAATCTGATTACAAGATAACGCTATACAAAGTAATATAATACAGAGATTAATGTGTCTATTAAATTGCTAATGAGTTTAAAATAGGATTAATGATAAAATTATTTTATATACAGGATGAAACAAACCTGTGACAAACTTTTGTCCATTTCCATACACTGAAAATCTGCGTTATTTTAAGAGATTCAAGAAAAACTTATTAGTATAAATTGTAAGCACTTCTAAGTTCTATATTTATCATTATGTCGTAAAAAAACAATTCTTAATGACATAACGTTTTTCTAAAAAGAGCAGATACTTTAGAAAAGTTTTAAACAAGGTCCCATAATTTTTCGTCCCATACAGAAGCACCTTCATCATTTTCATTTAATCATACATTTTCTTCTAGTCTATATTTAGTTGCTAATGAATCTTGCCGTGACTCCTGTATATTTTAAAAATCTTAATATTCAAAACAGAATTGACGAAGTGAAAAAAATACATATATGTTTTAACTGTCTATAAAGTGGGTATCAACTGGTTTTAAATAAGATCAGTGTAAAATATGTGGTTGAAAACATCATACACTCTTACTTAAGACTCTAAGGACCGATTTCACCGTTGTGTTAAACGGATATTAAAATGACATTGTTAATGTAAAAATATAATTTTAAACTTCGTTTAACACAACGGTGGAATTGGTCCTTAAGAGCATACAGTAGCGCGTCATCACATTGCCTCGGATTTCCTAGATTAACAGCTTGTAAGTAGGATCCCACATATTTGAATAGCCTCTGGCAACGTTGTAACGTCAAAGAAGGGTCTATGGCAAGCGTCTATAGAAGGGTCAGGTATAAATTATAATAAATAATTTTAGAAATGGAATTTCAATTTTCAGTAGGTGGTATAGATATTTCTTGAATTAAATAACACCGACAAGTATCTATAATCCTGATAATTAATTTTAGATTTAAAAAATGATTTTTAGCATCAAAATAAATTTACAAAAATATCATATTTAAATGTAATATTATTTTAGTAAGCGCCTAGTGTTTTATACCTATAATCCTCAGTTAAACAACATTTAAAAATTAAACAGCAATTTAGAGTGGTTGTTTAGTATCTGCCCATAGATTATAACAGCAAAATAAGGAAATGATTTGACCTAATTATTGTCATAAAACTAAAGTAAATTGTTTCTTAGTACCTACAATAAGTTATTAATACGTAATTAATGAACTAGTAATTATAATCTAATGGTAAGTAGGGTAGAATAATTGTTGTTTATTTACTTGGTTTAGAGGGATTAACATATTTTAAATAAATACAAGGACAATGTACTACAAAGTCAGTATAGTTACGAACGTGACAATAAGATTTTGTGCTGATTTTTCTGATTTGTAGTGTGTAATTTATTGTTTGGTGTGAAGATGGGTAGAAGTGCTTTGACTAAAGGAAAACATGTGCATTTGAATAATGCAAGAAAAAGTCGTCGAAATATAATGAAAAAGTAAGTGAGAGAATCAAATCGGTAATAAATTTGGGATGGACGTGAATCCAACCAGAATTTTTTATTTCGGATCGAATCAGGCATTTTCTTATACCAATCCATCCTTAAGTCAAATATACAAACAAAAATAATTTTTTAATATTATATTTTTACCTCAGATATTTTCGGAAAAAAGTGTCCTTTGACCGAAATACAAAATATCGAGGAAACAAGCGACAGGTAAATATATACATTTTTATCTTTATTTAACAAAAAAGCTATTATTTTTCCCCCAATAAACTTTAAAAAACGGTAGGAGACGAGAGGAATTTTATATATATAAAAATGTTTCATTGGTTTATTTGGTCAAATTTTTTATTAAGTTATTAAGCACAACATATGTTTCGGAAAACAGTTTTTTGCATCTTCTGGTGCAGTTAATGTATTTTTAAAAAACAAGGGGGGACGAAAACAGATTAAAAATTTTTAAAATGCTAAAACCCCATCTTTTGTTTCGTAGCGTGATTTGGTGTATTTGAAATAAAATATTGATTTAATTTAACACGATAGGTAGGGAAACAAAAAGTTGAGTTTTTATAAATTTAAAAATTAGCAGTGGCGTTACAATAAAAGTTTAAAAATTAAAAACTTACAATTAGATAATTAAATTAAAATATACATTTGACAGATCTTTTATGTCAGTTTTATTATTTTTTTTAATATGTATCATCTCAAGTATTGTTCTTTTGTTGTAGTTTGGTTCATTTTTGAGAATTCTTACATTTTCAAAATCGAAAGAATGCAAATTTTCCAATGCGTGTTTTGTTAAGGCAGTGGAATTTTCATTATTAGTAACAATATTATTTTTACGATTTTTTATTTTGTTATGTAGACATGGTTTTGTTTGTCCAATGTCCAAAATATGGGGTTCTAGCATTTTAAAAAATTTTAATTTGTTTGTTTTCGTTCCCCTTGTTTTTTAAAAATAAATTGACTGCATCAGAAGATGAAAAAAACTGTTTTCCGAAACATATGTTGTGTTAAAAAATTTGACCGAATAAACCAATGAAAAATTTTTATTTATATAAAATAAGAAATTCTGTTTCTCCTTTAATAATATTAATAAAAATATGGAAAATTCGTTCCTAATCTAAAACACTGATTATTGGAATCCGCAGTATATAAACCTCTGGATACAATTAATGAACCAAAATATTTCGGTAAAGTCGGTAAATTTAAATTCAACAAGGGAGCAGAATATTATGATATCTCCATAAGGGAATAACAGAAAATGAGCCCAATACATACACAAAGAAATATTTAAAAATAATGGGAAACTAACGAAAGAAAGAAGCGTCGACAAGAGCTGCGTTTAAAAAAAAAAATACGCTCTTCCAGATAGGGAATATGGTAATATTCACAAACTTATTCCTGATATGGATGAAAATGAGTATAATTTGAGAGAACTGGAATTCCTAAATATGTTAAATAAAACGCAAGAAGAGATTGATACAATAGAGGATCTTACCAAGGAACAGACCTCTTCCATTCTATGGTTGAAAATGATTTCTTCGCACTCAATAGAAGACATGATTATTACTTCTAGGTCCAAGGGCAATTAGCAATAACAAAAAAAAAAGCTACTTCGTTATATGGAGTCCAAAAGGTTGCTTAATTGAAGAGATTGGTATTAATTAACTTTTTTGTAACTTTATTAATGTCCTTTTATTAGATTTATAATAAAGATGAGAATTTCTGGTTAAACGAAATGTTCCGAAATTAAAAATATGTCTTCTTCCGGAGCTAGTTGATCCAAGTGCAACAATGAACTTGAACATAAGAGAAAACTGTAGAAAAGAATTAATAAATGTAAATTTATAAAAAACCAAATAAATATTTCACTCATATAAAAATAGATATTTTTTTATATCGCATGTCCATCCATGTCACATTTTATTCTTCCCTAAATATTTTTTCCTTGAAAAATTATCACAACTCGAAAAGAAATTTCTGAAAACTGTTTCGAACAATTCCGAAACGACATTTTTGCTTTCCTCCTACAATCTTCAAAACCGATAAATGAGATACAATGTTTATTATAAAAATTACTAGTTATTTCCAAAAAAATACGTAATTCAAAATATTAATTAAATACAAAATATTATGTTACTAGTATTTCAAAAATATAAAAAATTCTACGATTGAAAGTAATACACCAAATCATGCAGAACGAAATAATGTATGTCGATTTGTCGAGATCGCTCGGTGCAGCGTTGCCACATCGAGCCTCGCCCGTTATAGCAGAGTGGTAGCAGCACCTGTCGGTCAATTTTAATTAAAAAGCGCAATATTAATCCCATTTAAAAAGTATTTACTTTTTAAAAAATAAAGACCCCTCAAAAAATTTTAAATTTATTTTACATTGGGGCTGAAACATTAAAAATTTCCAAAAATTTACTTAATTAATAAAAAAAAAGATTGTTTCTGCCCCAAGAAATAAATATTGATTAATAACTGAAAAATAATTCATAAAAATCAGATGAAAAATAGAGCGTATGGCTAAACTTACGAGATATCCTGGTTGCTCTTAATGCAGAAACTGTCCGTCATCAAATTTCGTCGAATAATATGATATCTAATTCATGCAATTCAAGTAAATGTATTGTGTAGTAACATTAATTATAATATCGCTTTATTATTAACTATTATTTTTCAAATTCGAATTCCTGGAGCCATTTTGGCAGTGGTTTTTGGTCTAACTTTGTTACTCATCATCTCGGTTTGAAGTTAGTCCTTGTCAAGGAACGCATTGATATTTCTATGACAGAAATTACTCAGATAACTTCAATTATCAAATATAAATGTATTTTATCAATAAATTTATTGCAATCTTCTTTCTGAACATCAATTAACTGCTTGGTTACTTCTTTTATATGTGACCAGGTTCCAGGTTCACCAATTGACGTTGCTTCTTTGTGCATACCTTTAAACATTCGTTAATCTGATCCAAAGTTCAATGTTCCATCCTGTACAGACCTTCTTATAGGTGTAGGGCTCTTCTGGGATTTTTTATGCATAGGACAAACAAAATTACGTTCACAGAAACCTGTTCTTCAAATAACACAACTTGGCTGAATTATCTCGGGCCCTTTGGCCAAATTAACTTCACAGAATTTAATTTGTCATCTTTCCCAAAATGTAAATCATGATCTATCAAGGTTTTGGGAACTAGAAGAATTTTCTACAAGTCAGGTTCTCTTCAAGAAGGAGTTGGATTGCGAGAATCATTTCATATCGACCTATCGTAGAAATTCTGATGGTAGGTTTCTCGGACAAAACCTTTTCAAACGATACATTGAAATGTTGGGGAAATCCCAATCAAAAGCTCAAATAATATTTTATAGCCTCTAGCGTTCTACTTGGTATTTTTAATAAACAATTCCACAATAAACTCTCTGTTTAGTTTTTTTTTTTATTTTGTATAGTACGTGTCCCAAACAAAAT